GCATACGTTCTCGTTCTATAGGCTTGCTAGTCGGGCCTGTGTATGAGGAGGCCCTGGGTTGAGGTGTATCATCAGAACGAGATTGCGATCTATCAGTGGGTGATGTCTGACGAAGTGGTACGCTCGAGGTTGTTGGCTTGCTTCTGCTGCTATGAGAAATTCCAAGTTCATCAGAAAAGTGAGATAACGAAGTCCTCATAAGTTTCTCCAATTCACGGTCCCCGGTATTAGGTAACAAGTGGCGTGATATCTGTTTTGGTAAACGTTCCGGTTTTCCATCTACCATTTGCCCATCGGCATTAATCGGTAAAGCTAGAACAACTTTTCCTAACCTCTCGGATTCTTCGCTAGGATAAGCGGAAATCTGAATCGTCATCCAATGTGCAAATCCAAGTGGAGTCAAGGCCGGTATCGTAGGAGCCGAATGGAAATCTTCTTGGACGAGGTGATGTTGACATCCCAGATCTTGGTATAGCTTCGATATTTGCGTATTGGACAAATTTTTGAAAATAGCTAGATCTGTGAGCATGGGTAGAGCTAAGATATAGACTGGGAAATCTTACAAACATATGGATGAATTTCCTTGTTGTTAATAGGGTACGAGCTATAATATGTTGCCATTTTCGAAGGTGTGATCACAATACTCCTTTTGGGCGCAAAATCATCGACCTGTGAATGGTGTCAGTAGGACATTTAACACAGCCTCAGATTGGAATGAAAATGAAATGATTCGGCGAAAGCCTCGTCACACCGAAATGCCTCATCAAAGGAAAGGAAGACTAACAATATGATTCGCAAGTCCTCTCAAGAACTGTCCCAATCTTTCCGTAGGCCGAGAATCATTATCGAACAATCGACCCCATTTTTGATCAATTGTAGATAATTCCAAGGTTGAGTATGTGCGGTGAACTTTCTGCGCCGGTCGCTCATTGTAAACACGATCACGATCCCGATCACGGTCATTAAACCTCACGGAGGGCTTGTCCGAGGAAGGACTTGCCGGAGGTGATCTCATAGGTTCTGTAGGTGGAGGGGAAAAGGTTGGTTTGGTAGTGGAAGTTGGTGAAGGAGGAGTGTAAACTCTGCGATTATCTAGAGGGGGAGGAGATTGATTTGTAGAGTTGGGTTTCTCGGAATATTCGCGTTGCATATATGAGGCTCGCGGTTGGTCATCAATGGAGCCTGTTTGCTTCAGATGTTCAAAGACTAAGTGAATAGGTTTCAGTAAGCATGGGCGACTTGGTGAGGCTCAACAACGCTCAAAAATGACAAGCATGCAATGAAGAGAAGTACAACATATACTCACGTTCTCTTTTGACCTTTTCCGTGATTGCTGCAATTATCTCCGGCGATACTGCATCGTGATCTACCGCAGTGCCACGGTCGGAGCCATATGCTGTTCCCATGGTATTATTGTTTGATGGGTATGACTGTTGTGGTGAATGTGGTGGTACACTTGATGCGCTTTGGGAAGCATACGGTGAATCTCGAGATTCGGTAGGATATCTATTCGAGGTCGAGGGGATTGATGAATAGGCAGGCATATGCCTGTTGGTATCATTGAAATTGTAGGTCTCGTAGGTCTCATAGTCATATTCCGGCCCTGAATCGCCTCGTAGAGGGCGACCATAAGCGTCAAAATGGGCCATCTTCAAAGGCGAGGCTATGTTCTTTTGGCGTTTGCTACTTCATAAAGGTTGAGTGAGGGGTTGAGTTTCGGCCTGGTATATGGTATTCTGGTGTCTTATACTTTGCTCGTGATTCGAATGGAAGATGAGGTTGGACTTGACACAATATATGATCCACGGTTTGGAAGACGAGATATTCAATTTGGGATTTGAAAGCTCTGAGTCTGAGGTGGTTATGGTATGGCTGTATATGGTGGGGGGTGTCACCGTTTCTCAAGATGTGCAAAAGCTTTATTGGGAAAATGTGAGAACTATCTCGAAGAAAGTCGTGTCGTCCCCAGTTTCGGATTGAGTTAGCTAGATAGGTAGGTAGGTAGAGGTAAGTAGAGGTAGGTCAGTCAGCTCCATACAATACCTTATCACCAGGTACCTACTCGGTGCAGGTGCAGAATCCGATGCAGAACGGAAGAAACAAAAGAAAACAAGACTTTTTTACTTCAGATACTGCAATGCAAGTCTTGCGAGCAAGGACTCTTCTCTTCTATCGCTATACATCCAATCAAACCCTAGTCGATGGCTATTTATTGGCTTGTTTGGCGTCAAGAGTCCCACGAGATAATTTCCAACATAGGATACATATATCGGGCAACGGCTATGCGGAAAATTGTTTTTGATTGTTTTACTCATCAATGGATGGATGGATGGATGGATGGATGGATGGATGGATGGATGATTTACTTTAACTTCGAGAGCAGACCTGGACACAAAAATGTATTTGATACAACGGTTACGATTACGATTAGAATTATAGATCTACCAAGATGACATTGCTCAGTCCAAATACAATACTTTGTATATGATCATAGGTGATTTTTGTATCATATAAAAATCCTCGCACATTTACTAATTACTACCTACCTATCTATCTACCTAGTACCTACCTAGTACTTATGGGAGGTATCTATACCTTTCCTAGTTTATCTACTCTGTATCTATATTTACATATACTCTCGAGTTACAACGGCGTAAAAGAATCCTGATGACGCAAATCACAATTCATCGATTGATTCATCCAAGATTACAAAGTAAAAAGATCCATGGGTGATAGATGATAAGATACCTCCTGCCCTGAATACATCATCATCGACATCATCATCACGCAAGATGTTATTCTCCAGCAAGCATCACCTCTCATAAGTCAACAGAGGATGATCCCTCTCTCAAACTCCTTCTTCGGGAGTTCTCCCCAATTAGTTTCAACCAAACAGGCTTCTAAGTCTCTCATTCTGACTACCTACCCTACCAACACCAACTCATCCTCTAGTTCATCGCCTCCCCTCCCTCAATGGTCTCAATACCCATCCAAGCCAATCTCCATCCTTCACGATGACAAAACTTCCTCTCCATTATCCATAAATTCCCGTTGACTACGCATTAGCTTTCCACTCTAACCATCCAACCAGTGAACAAGCGAAGTCATCACACCACGATCTCATAAACTGACCACGTTTACACCCACTAATAATCACTGTCGTCCCTGAACTAACAACTAGACTGGCTCACTGGTTCATTTCTCCATCTCTAGTACATCATACTACAGAGCTCTGCGTGTAGTACGTACATGGTACATACACATCAACACAGCACACCTGGGCACTAACAATCTCTAAACGAGAATGAGAGTAGGGAGGGGTAGTCGAGTAAAGGGAATAAATATTTCGTAGGGTTTTCATAGGGCTATTGAGCTATCTACCTAGCAGATATCTACTCGTAGTATCCAACTTTATCAACCCACGATTAATTCAATTCCCAATTAATCTTTTCAAATTAATCTTTTCAAATTAAATTCTACAATAGATATTAACCTTATACAATCTTCAATTAATCTCCTCCCAAGATTTACATAAAATACATGAAAATGTTCATCCATGAATTAGGTACCACCTACTTGACCAATTACCATCCCACCCATCCATCACCAACCAACCAACCAACCAGCCTTCCTTTACATACCTACATAATACATATATACGTACCTACATCATCACCAACACCCAAGTCTCACCCTCCTGTCCCGCCTCCCTCTTCCTCCCACACTCTTCCCTCCCCTCACGCCCCCACCAAAATCCCATCATAGCAGGGCGTAGCATAACGGAGCCCCATACAACTACCACGAAACCACACACAGGAAAACCATCCCCGCCACGCACCAAGCAATCAGCATCTCATCTCACGCACGCATCCAATCATCGCAAGGCATCCAAGTCAGCCAAGCAATGCAAACCCTCAAAAGCGACCACACAACACAAATCACAAAACCACAACCTAAGTCTCAATTCCCCAATTCGCCATCCATCCATGCATAATCCCAAATCCAAATCCAAACCCTCTTCTACACCATCGCATTTCTTCTCATCACATCACATCATCACATCCTTATCCTTATCCTTCATTACATACTAACAAAATCCACTCCGATTGTATCTTTCCAATTACTTGATTACTAAGCTTAATTCCTTACAAGTCATTTACAATAACATTGTATTTATCATTCACACACAACCACTCACACACACACTCACACACACACAAACCAATTACCCATCGAAATCCCTATATCCGGGTATTAAAGATCTATCTATCTATCTATCTATCTATCTATCTATCTATCTATCTATCTATCTATCCATCCGTCTGTCTGTCTGTAAAGTTTTCATATCTATCATACCATGCATCATGCATCATGCCATACATCGTTTATCCATAGGTATTGTTGTAATCCCAGTATACCGATATCAAGCAGCCAATGAGTATGTAAATATTCTACCTATACATACATATATACCAAATCTCATACCAAATCTCACATCTCAAACACACCTCACATCTACCTACAGCCACAACGATCACCACCCAATCCCTACATTCATATAAATACCCCTAAAAACAACTATAGCCTTCCAACTCTTATTATTTCATCCCATCTTATTCCATTTCACCTATCTCACTCTCATCCTCATCCTCATTTTGCACTTCACACACCCATTCGCACTCCCACAACTCAAACTATCCCAGTTCCCTATCCCCAATCCCCAATTCCCCCAATTCAACCCATCATCACCCATCACCACCCCTCCAACCAAAATCACAACCAAAATCACAACCAAAATCACAACCAAAATCACAACCAAAATCACAACCAAAATCACAACCAAAATCACAACCCATCATCACCCCATCATCACCCCTCCAAACACAACCAAACACAACCAAAATCACAACCACAACCTCCCAGACAAATAAAGATATATACTAATCAACACCCTCCTACCACAAACACAAGTACATCCAAACACATCCACATCTCCACGTCTAATCTCCATCTCCATCTCCATCTCCATCTCCATCTCCATCTCCATCTCCATCTCCATCTCCATCTCCATCTCCATCTCCATCTCCATCTCCATCTCCATCTCCATCTCCATCTCCATCTCCATCTCCATCTCCATCTCCATCTCCATCTTTATCTCCATCTCTATTTCTATCTTCATCTCCGTATCCCCCCTCCATCTCCATCTCCGTATCCCCCCTCCCCCCCCAACCCCCCCTTCAAAAAATTTAAATTAAATAATACAACCACTCTCTCATCTACCAACCTAAAACTCAACATCCAAGCCTCTAGATTAAACTCCCTCTATAAAAACGAGCCAGCCTATTCTGATAGTATATCAAAACTCCCATGAAAGATCAAATGGTAGGTAGTAACTTTATATTACCTATTGCTATACATCCTAAGAAGGGTGAAACCTAAAATAGCCATTGACTCATCCTTGAGAGATCATCCCATTGAATATGAGTTCTCAAAACACCGAGGCCTGGGAAAACTTCTGCAATGAATAGAACATACAATAGCATATCACTAATAACACTTTATTTGTAAATAACCCGCTTGTATTAACTAACTAAAGCAACGCGTTACCAACAAAGCTCACTTGTCAGCATTTCTAGTCGAAGCCAAAGCCAAAGCCATAAAACCACCGCATGTCATGTACGGAGCCCGAAAGCAACGCCAAAGTTAACAGTGTTCAGAGAGGAGATAGAAAAGCTAGTATTGATTTATGGAAAGAAAAGCCATCGTTTTGATAGAAAGTCGCTCACTCAATTAAGAAGCCTTAATCAAAAAAATCATGGAGTCGTTGCAAGTATTCTATCCTCCGCAGAAAAACATGGTGCCCGGGGGAGCAACCAAGGAGATGGGCAGGCTTCGAATCTTCCAATACTCATTTCATTCACATTTCGTCATCGCTGGAGTCGTAGGCCGATCTGCGGTAACCCTCATTCGACTCTGGAGCCCATGCAGTGAGAGCACTTGGATTGGCTGGTTGTGCAGTACGAGTGCCGATCTGAAAGTAAAAGTTCTATTAGCATATTTGATAACATTACAAAATCAGTGATATAGCGGAAAGAGTGAAACCAAGCATTCATGTTAGGAGACTTACAGGCTTAGCCCAACCAGTGGATTGGTTAACAACCACGCGAGGAGCTGTGACTTGTGAAGAGCGAGAAGCAGTGGCGGCTGGACTTTGAGTGACTGGACGAGTAGCAAGAGCAGGATCGCTGGCAACAGAAGTTGCGCTGGATGCACCAACAGCCGAAGTAGCTCGAGAAGTCAAGGTCATTGCCTTTTCTTGAGAATGGCGTACTCCATTGGCATCATATGCATTGTACTGTATGGCAGGACCTGCACGACGTCTTGAGTCGCGAGTAGACCATACGTCGGAACTAGCTGTACGAGCACCTTCATAGGCGTTACTCATAGATGATTGCGAGCGGTTCTCAATCTGACTGCCAGCAGCTGCTCGCAGAAGCTGGGAACCGTTTGGAGTGTTGCCAAGGGACAACTGTGAAACGTTGATTAGTACGTGGTAAATTACTTCAGGGCTCGAATGTCACCCTCTGAATGAACGAAGTCATCTGGTATAATGTAATGAAGGCAGAAAGTACTCACACTCGCCATGCTCGCAGCATAAGAAGAACCTGTTGTGGGCTCGGGTGCATCACCTGTTGTATCAAGCTGCTCTAGCTCGGTGCCAGGAGCAGGTGTAGTATTGACCTCGGGATGATGACCTTCCTTCCATTGAACACATTCCATGCACCACTATAAACAACACGTTAGTCATTACACGCATGTATTAGAATCCGCTTGTGGAATTTTTGCATATTTACCCCGTTGCCCCTAGATCTCTGAGCCTTGCTAAACTGGTCCAAAGATTTCCACTTAGAGCATGGCCCCTCGCACTGGCGCTCAGATGCTTGTCCGCCCTTGCAACCCATACATCGTAGAAGTGATTTTATAGGATCGAGTTTCATACCCGGATTTTGAGCATATTGATTTGCGTACGAAGAAATCTCTTTCTTCGAGAAGCAATCCTTGGTCTTGAAAATATTGCAGTGGCGGCATTTGAATTTGAACCTGTAGACATTGCTATCAGCGAAATCCATGAAAGATAGCACGAAGAGAAGAATCAGATGTCAAATCATGCGTATTTGACGTGCATGATGAGTATCGTTTGACTTACCCGACTGGAATAACGCCTGCGCGCCTACAATTTCTGATTAGCTCAAACACACAGCAACATCGATTGGAATACGCACTCAGCAGCAGGAGCATAACGGTTGTTGCGGAATGACATCTTGAGTAGAAGTTGGCGAATTGATATCAGGAAGCGTGCTGATAAACGTGGAAGATGATTGAAGTTCAGCTTGAGCTTGACAATGTTATGGGCTCTACTAATAAATTAGAAAATCTGCATAGCGTCTGAGATTTGATGTTGTAATTTGTAAACTCAACTAGTTCACTTTCCGGTGTGATCTCCAGAAAAGGTGAACTTTGGAAGAGGGAGGTTGTGAATTGGGTTCGAACAAGACAATCAGTCTGTCTGTGAAGAGCAAATGGGTCTGTGTAATGATTTGGATAATCTCAAAGCTCGAGATGAATATGAGATAGATAAATGCTTGGATATAGTAACTCACTTGTTATCGTAGAATAATTGCTGTATGGGCGTAACACGTCCCGTTGTGAATTGTGAAGTGAGATAAAACGATGCTGAATGAAGGCTGCCTTGAAGGATTGAGCAAGAATCTGGAAATATGGCGCACAATTCGAATTTTAATCTTTACCAAGTTGACGCTCGTTCAACGTATTACAGGTTGATTTTGAAGTTATATTTTGACGTGGTACCAGTAGAAAGAGAGGGAGTTTGGTGATGGAAAAAATGAAGTTGTTTTTGAAAGGAGGTTGAAGGAAGGTTGAAGGAAGGTTGAGAGACGATAGGAACTCTTTTGTAGCTGGTTGGTGTGTAGGCATCCGATCTATCTGTATCAAATAAGTGAATATGGAAAGAGGGGGAGGTGGTTTAGAGAATTATGAGGAGGATGAATATCAAGTTACCCCTCTCTCTCAAATGAATTTTCAAATCTAAACTGAAAGTAACTCTGGGTACCTACCTAGGTATTGCACCTTCCTTCTCCAACGAACTCCCGTCTGATTTTAAATTTCATCTCTTCAAATACCACCGTTTCGTTTGCTCGCTCGTTTGTTTGTCTACATCTGCTAGGCACCTAGGTACCCATCATTTGGTTCATGCGCCAGCGGGAACCTGCATCAAATCTAACCTGGAGCTTTATTTATGTTGAGATCTTGCCGTCGGAGTTTTAGATTCTGCGCGCCATAGTTCATACGCGTCCTTTCATATTCTACATTTTTTCTTGTACTCTTTCCACCGTTGGATTCGCAGTACTTGCGTGATAGATTGGATGTTTGAATTTGGTTCCGCACAAATGATGTGATGACTATCGACATACACACGACTCTCGAATGGAGTCATGATGGGAACATGTTTCATTTCATTATGATCTTACGATAGTGGAACGGTATCCGACATTTTGACATGTATTCAAATTGTCGCCATGAAAGCACCACTCTACATAGGTACCTGGGTACAACCAGATTGCAAAATACGAAAGAGAAGTAGAAATGATATCATAAAAAAGAGCTCGATTTCGCAAGTTACAAATGTGCAGTTCCTCGCGCAGAACATCAATGGTGTCGAACACCTCCCGCCTGACTGATAACATGATATTTGAAGGTCTTGCAGTCACTTGATTTCCAGCTGTCGCTACTAGCAATTCAACCTTGGCTCCATGGTACAGATTGGCAGACACAGCCAGTGCTGGGTGCCCATGGCTGAAGAATAAGGTCTTCTCTACACATCAAACTTTTCCCCTCATATATCGACCTACTATCAAGCCGTGTGCAGTCATTCGTCACTTGTTGAAGAATCATCATCGAATTTCATCAGGGGCAACGTCCTTGTTCGACCTACATTTTGATCCTCCGCGATTGCAGAAGGATTACAGATCTTGAGAGCTCAAAATACTCGGTTGGTTCTAGTGCTGACTCTTGCATCAGATCCCATTCATTACACCAAATGGTTTCTTTTTGAATGAGGCCGAACGAGACCGATGAAGAGTCAGCTTTCATTTTGAATGCGGAAACTTGACTAGCAGAGAAAAGGCGGTACGGAAATATTATGCTTCCCCCAGATTTTTCATCCTATATCACACCGCTCAGCTCGCATATGCAAGCAACCGTTAGACTTGCGCTATCCTTCCAGCCTCGAATGAGACCCGATAGTGTGGATTACGGACAGGGTGAAACGTGTCAATCAGGATCTTCAGCGGAAGAAGGCAAAACTAGCCATTACCAGATATGCGAGGATACAGAAGCTAGCATGGCTTCGATATGCCCTCTTTGTTTTTTTACTACCGTGAGGTCGCATCCTTCCATATGCCATGATTATTTTGTGATCACGTTACGTCAAAGAAGTCCGGGCACCCCCATCAATCATGCCAATTCAACCGTACCATTCTGCAGGCGTTTTTTGTGGAATATGGATACAGGGGCATCATTCAGGGTCTACATCGACCAATATGACGATGAATTGACTGTACAGTTTTCACACAGTAAAACCTGACTCCCAGCCTCCCAGCCTCCTCGAACAAATTTTCAAGGCAAAAAGCGTGCCGGCCCTTCGATAGCTTTTGGAACCGTCGACAGCGGAAGCCGGGAGAGCTAAAATCGTAGACTCAGAAGACCACGTTTAGTGGGGAATGATACCCGAACCATACCCACAGGAGCGGGCAAGGATAGGGTAAGTTAATCGTAAGGACTAAGACAAAATGGGCTGTCAACTGTCACTTTGTCAAAGTCTGAAGAAGGTTTTTCACAATGGTAAAGAGAAGAAAGGGGGCGCGCGCGGATGGTGTTACTGATGCCCATTGGGACGGGTATACTTCGTGTGGAAAGCTCCAGATCAATGATAACTAGGAAGGTAGAAAAATCTTACATGAAGCACGATGTATCAAGTGAAAAATTGCAACGGAGAGGCCAAAACAAACATACAGTAGTCAGTCCATTTTGCCATGTTCGATTTTTTCATGAATCCATGATGTGCGCAGTCAGCTTCCGTCATGCTATTTGGGGGGAAGTAAAACATTCCCAGGCTGGATGCTTGGTTGAATTAGGTCACTGTACTCTAATGGATTGCATACACAACATAGGGTGCACAAAACACCACTAGATCATCTTGTCTTTCATTAGATAGTTCCTTGTTGCCAAGGCCATAGCGGTATGAAAGTCCTCATTCTCTGAATCTTATCCAGTTAGGCATGTATACAACGAGCCTACTCTCGGACAGTCTTGCATTGATGGCACGAAACCTGATTTCACATGTATACGGCGTACCTAGGCATGGGATTATATGGAAGTTTTATACACGGGGCGGCGAAACACGACTCACGAATGGTCCGGATGATAAATTGTGAGATATATTAGTGGGTTGGAGACTTGGAGTGATGATTTATGACTGTATGTACGCATTGTTCACCAATGGAGCAGGCATTAACATGAACCTTCCCTCGAGCTTCCGACCTTTTTCTTCTCCCAAATTCCCACTTGTTCTCCGAGGTTACGGGATTTCCCCTATTTCTTCAGAAAACTCTAATAACTGTAGACAGGTATTCCCGATCAGCATTTGATCAAGTGAGTTGTGATATTTCTTTGACATGTGCTCGTCCTTGATGGTCACAGCCCCCAAGCTCTGCTTCCATCCTCAATCTTCTAAATATATTTCTAGAAGAGCCAGTGCAGAATCGGCAGTTTGTTCCAGCGTGGCTTTGACACCGAAATGCACCTCCGGATTGGAATGGCTGGGCTGGCTGGTGATAAAAATAACGATTTGTTTGGAAGTTGGAACCTGTCATTGCAGTACTGGGGACGCTAAAATGAAGGGGGCAGGTAAAGGATACCTACCCTAAATTGGGCGTGTAGCATTTAGACTCTGGAGCAGGCAAAAAGAGGTTACGGCGAAATGAAATGAATGGTGATGGATGAACGGAGAAAGAACTAAATAGTAAATACAGATTTGATTTGATTTGATTTGATTTGATTTGATTTGATTTACCTAGTACTCCGTAGTATAAATTGTATAATCTGTAGAAGTGCAGAGGAAAACTGCATGACTCGAGGAGGCAAGTGCATATCTATGGTATCTGTTCTGTCTGTACGATTGATTACGGAATCATAAGCATTGCTACACCAGCTATCGACTCAATAGAAGAACGGCTGCATTTCCCCTCTCACCTGTACGGTGCAAATGCATTTGATTTCCCGCGGTATCTTGACGTTCAATTGTGTGGAGGAGGATTAGCCTAGCCAGTATCATACAAAAGGTTAGGTACGGTATGGTAATAGTATGCATTGACAATCCGAGTTTGGGGGGAAATATGGGAAAGGAATCGGAATCAATCAATCGATCAATCCATCAGTCCATCAGTCCATCCAATCCATCCAATCCAATTCAATCCATCCATCCATTTATCGTAACAGGTAATAAGCTTTGATGCCATGGTAATAGATTTTGGGTTTGGAGGGATTTGGACGATCTGTTCTTCGTAATTACAGATGGTCTTGTGATAATGATATGATACCCAAGCCAAGTATGAAGTGGGTTAGTTGACGGTTGACTGGTTAACTTTCTGAATGGCTTCCCATTGCAATTACTGTACGGTGAGTCTGCTGCGACGGTGGAGGATTCAGTTGACTGGAAGTCTTTGAATTGTTAGAATAGGTATCTATGGCTGAAGTCAAAGAGACTAGGACGAGGTAATTACCACCCGGGCAGTGAGTAGTATTTTCAGGGCGTACCGGTATTTCAAAGTTCAAACAAAGGTAGGGAGGTAGTAGTTATCGGAAGTCAATCTTGACACCTTAACCACTAAGCTGCTCTAGAAACCTTACGCTTCAGAATCTTTCATGTCATGATTCATCACACTTCACTCTCTTTTCATTTGTCTCCCACCTCGCAGAGTCACATCCAACACAACTTCTGCTTTCCTTTCCTTTCCTTTCTTATCAGTGTCACCCTCCCACGCCTCGAATTTCATCGCCGCCTCGCATTCTTGGGATCTGAACCGTATCATCGTATTGTCCTTGCTGATCCCAAGAGAAAAGGCTCCTCCGTCGTGTGCACATTGATCATGACGGTTATTGAATTGTACATCGTGAGATACTAGCTCAGTGCCATGGAGGGGGTTTCCTCTGCCCTTTTTGATCTTCTTCTGCATATCTAGGTATCTCGTTGGCTTCAAGAAAAACACCAAACACCAAACAATTAATAAAATGGCCCATCCACCACCCACCACCCACCACCCACCATCCACCATTCACCATCCATGATTTTCATCTCAATCAATCCACTATCCTGATTCAAGAATCAAGACCCTTTTGACTTTCCTTTAATATAACCTCAATTGATTGGAAAGAGAAGAAGAAAAATAAAAATAAAAAAAAGAGGTCCCAAAGCCCGCCCCGCCTTTAAAGCCCCTCTTCATTCATTTTTCTTTACATCAAGAATCAAGATTCAATAATCCGTTGATAATCCGTGGGCCATACTCGTAGTCTCGTACATACATGACCGAGAGATATTACTTGAAGTCGTTAGGTACTTCGAAGGTATCGACTTCCCCGGGGCCACCAAGGGCCATTGATTATTGAATTAATCCGCACTCTCATCGAATCAGCATCATCACACTCTTTACTCGGCCGCTGTGTTGGCATCACAAGAAGCAATCGACACTTTTTAGCCGATATCTACCAGGGATTCCAAACCAGCACAGCACTGGCGATTTTTCTCTCTTTTCTTATTTGATTTACAGAATTATACAGCATCACGGTGCTCTTGAGACTTAATTCAGCTAAACAGCGTGTTGTTCGAGACAAGTCCCCACAATCTCGCATATAACTCGCAGTATCAGTTCCCACATGTACATACCATACCATACCATACCATATACCATACCATATACCATACCGACCGTACACACGCACGCACGCACGCACGCACGCACACTCGCACACTCACACATACACGCATAACCTCAAATAAATCCGTCAGCCAGCATAATCAAGCATCAGCAATCCAACACTGCATTGCACAGGAAGAAGAGAAACCGTCCAAAATCACTCGCTCGCTAGCTATCTAGTCCATACAGTCCATACAGTCCACACATACATACGCACGCAACTTACAGACCCTTCATTTCTTCCCCTTCTTCCTTCCAAACTCCTCCTCCCTCCGTATTAATTACAACCCGGTACGAGAACAAATCAATCAATTCAAATAATGCCAATTATCTAATATCCATTCGAGACTCACCCATTTCTGGCATCGTATACCCCTGAAGGAACTACTAAAAGATCCAATCTACTGTTCGATGTCAAAGTGGATCTTAGCGAAATTGGTTATTACCATCACCCCCGAGCTGTTCATGCCCCAAAGATTGTCTTCTGGAAGGATTTGCGGAACTTAATAAAACACAAACCAGAGAAAGCGCGAAGCTTGAGGTCTTGCAAGTTTCCACGGTTCAAGGCCTGGTAGTTTCGACAATTCAAAGTTCATGCAACCCATGCCAGTGCTTTCCTTTTGGACTGACTCTCATGCGCTTGCGATATCCACCTACAACAAGCAAGCCATCGACTCCCCCACGTCGCACATCAAGAAACTACGAAAAGCCCTTGATCTTTTACAGCTTCTCCTATCATTCAAATACTAACCCAAAAACGTCACGAGTCGTCCGTCCTTCTATTTGATCGTCGAAAGTCTTCTTGCTCTAGCGGGTCAAGACCCGCACTCCCGATTCTTGGTAACGGCTCCTTTCCTACCCTTGGACCCTTCCTCAGACATCCCATTACATCTCTCTACCTGATCAACTTCTTGATCTTTCAATTCGCTACTTCACTCATTTCCAATCTCACGGAGGACATCCAAAACATATCGTTATCATCTCGATCGTTACCTACCACCATCGTCAGCTACGTTACATGAATGCTCCGATTAAAGTAAGAAAGCTCTCGTAGAGCCATATACGCGGCAGCATTGGTAAGTGAAATCTCCTGACATTCACCATGGTTGGCATCTGATGCTCGAACGTGACGAAGGTGATTGCTAACATAGCCAGTTTCATTTAGTATTCACTGTCGGTCATCTAATACGAACATTTATCATTCAAATACATATATACATTACCACAACACATACCTCAAACTAGGTCTACAAACATGACAGTCGCGTACGATTTAACCCACCGAGGGTCTTCGACCCCTCAAGCTTCACAAGGACAAGCGTTGGAAGACAGGTTCGAAGTATTGAAAGATATTGGGGATGGAAGCTTTGGTAGCGTTGTTCTAGCTCGAGTACGCGGGGCAGGAGCCAGTGTAGCTCGACGTGGGACAATCGTAAGTTTAGACAAGAGTCGACTGAGGAATTGTTGAAGCTGACGAAAGAATTATAGATTGCTATCAAGACGATGAAGAAGACTTTTGAATCATTTCAGCCATGTCTAGAACTACGAGAAGTCGTATTTTTAAAGACATTACCACCTCATCCACACCTCGTCCCAGCATTAGATATATTCCTCGACCCTTTTACAAAGAAGTTACATATTGCCATGGAGTACATGGATGGAAACTTGTATCAATTGATGAAGGCTCGTGACCACAAGTGCCTGGACGTTTCTAGTGTCAAGAGTATCCTCTTCCAAATCATGCAAGGACTCGAGCATATTCACGCTCATCAGTTCTTCCATCGCGATATTAAACCAGAAAACATTCTCGTTTCCACATCAGCACAGGATTCAGGAAACTCATTCCGACGATACTCTGCTATGGTCACTCCTCCTTCTACACCACCAGCTTACACAGTCAAGATTGCCGACTTTGGTCTTGCACGAGAAACTCATTCGAAGTTACCTTATACAACCTATGTATCAACCAGATGGTACAGAGCGCCAGAGGTATTATTAAGAGCAGGGGAGTACTCAGCTCCAGTGGACATTTGGGCAATTGGTGCTATGGCAGTGGAAATTGCAACGCTGAAACCTTTATTTCCTGGAGGAAACGAAGTCGATCAGGTCTGGAGAGTGTGTGAAATCATGGGCAGTCCAGGTAACTGGTACAACAAGGCTGGCGAGAGAGTTGGTGGAGGTGATTGGAGAGAAGGTACGAGATTGGCCGGCAAACTAGGGTTCTCATTCCCAAAAATGGCGCCACATTCCATGGACACGATTCTTCAGACACCTCAATGGCCAGCATCATTGGCAAAATTTGTCACGTGGTGTTTGATGTGGGATCCGAAAAGTCGCCCAACATCAACTCAGGCTATGGCTCACGAATTTTTTACTGATGCTGTGGATCCATTGAGGCCCAAGTCATCATCCAGGATACTCGGTCGCAAACATTCCGATCTAAGCTATCGTAGCTCAAAGGAATTCTCTGAGGCCACACCAGCTGCAACTGCAAAACCTTCCTGGTTTAGAAAATCCCTTATCGGTAGAAATGATAATTCTAACACTGCAGCAATTCCAACAAAGGAGAAAGAGAACGTGGCATCCAAGCCTTCACCGGTGCTTACAGCTACAATTAGTGAAATCCCCGTCGCTAAGACACGTCAGCCTGCGGCAAAGCGGTCAACATGGGCTTCCGGAGCTACTAACGCAGCGCCAATGCCGATTTTACCGACAATTAAACCAATATCGCCAATCTCTGACACTGCAACAGCACAAGCAAACAGCAGAACATCATCGTACAATGATCTCTATTCTGGACAAAATGATAAAGGTTCGAAGAAGATTGGTCGTCAATTATCAGTTGCCTCGAGCACGAATCATTATGCGGAAATTCATCGACAGCAAGCTGAAATGGCATTGAATGGAAATTCAGGTCTAGTATCTCCCCCAAGTGGCCACAAGGAAAGTTTCTTTTCTCATTTAAGGAAACGTGCGAGAAGGTTCTCTGGTCGACAATCTACAACTCCCATGTCGCCGAAATCAATGGACCTTGAAGCACAGGCTGGATGCGGACCTTGGTCGAGCAATAGATCGTCGATGGTATTGGATAGTAATCAGCCTGCGAGTCCTGCTCCGCAAAAAGTCGATTCTTCTGAGGCATTAGACAAGGCTTTGCGTAACGTACAGCAAAACTTGGATTCACCACAGAGTACCAATTGCCCTCCTATACCACCAAGTCATCAAATCAATCCAAGTAGTGTTTTAAAGAGACATCACTCTGTGCCTCATCAACAAGCACCGCGTTCGACTGCCGATATTCCAAGGTCTGTTGCACCCATACCTACTAGGAACAGGAGGAGCCAAATACCAGGAGTTCAACAATACGAGACTCCTGATGAGGAAGACGAATTGCTTGACGAAGCTTCAATTTCCACGAAGAAAATGGTGAAACGCGGAAACTCAGTACAGAACGATCATCGACAACCCTTAAGACAATCACATAGTAATACTGGTTTAAATCCATACCCTACGCCCTCCCCTTCCGCTAATGGTAATTCGGTACTCTTTGGCCAAGGTTTAAACAATGCTTCACCAACTCCAAAAAATCATGGATCTAGCAAGCAATCCTCGACACCACCATACGATTATGAGGAAAATGAGTGGGCAGCATCTGCTGCTGCTAGTATATTCGCGGCACAAAATCGATTCTAGACGATCCTCTATCGTCAATTTGTAAAATACTTGGAGGAAAAGTTTCGGGGTATCTACATTGCATGGTGTTTGGGAGATATATGGCGGGGTCAGTTTTTTGTTCAAACGTTCTTTGTGACATCAGTTTACTATACACCAGCACAGCTGGGTCTAGCGAGTTCATCTGCGGCGTTTAATGTTGATATCGAAACCTTCTTTTGATTTTATTTTCCAGCTTCATACCCCTGAGCATAGTCGCGCCTATAGAAGCGCTTCTTAGTGTTCATCATTTTTTCTCGTCTTCTAAATACCCCTTCATAGACTGCACTAAATTCTATTTTCCGAAGATTCAATGGAAAACAATTGCTTCACAGCACTCAAACAATATCTCATTTGTCATCAAATTTTTCTATGGATGTGGCCTGTAGCAAATTCAATTGAATGCCAGGACCGAATTATATACATGTTATTATTTTCCTATTTTTCAGGGTCAATGTTGATTTTCAGGCGAGCCACGTGGCGGCAGTTAATTGGGGGAAGTGAATCTGTTTATTCTACATTGGTCGCACATTACTGTACAACTCACATGTTTTCAAGACCAGCTTCACCAAAAAAATATGGGCACGGGATATGGGGAAAGGGATCTGGGATTTGCGGCTCTGGCGGGACGGGCAGAGGAAGGGGTTTCTAAGGGTATGCATATTTGTGGCGGGGATGGTACATCTACTTAATTATAACAGTTTCCTTGTTCCTTTTGTCTTTCTTTTGTCGTACATATCTGGTTAGGGCTATCCTGGGACGGAACATTTAGAGATTTGCTGCAGGAAGGGATTTTCTGGGGAAGATCCTCGTTCCTGCACATCAGGAGGGAAGGTCCTGGGAAGAATTGGCTGTGCTTTCATGCATGGATGGAGGACTTGGAAAGAAAGGACGTCATCGCTCTTATGCTGTGTTGGCTAGTGAGGTTGAAAGTTACCTCGATTGAAACTGCTGGGCGGTATGTCATTGTCATGGAAGAGGGAGGAAATGGCAGAGATTTTAGGGGTTAGATAGATATGGGTGAGATGTGTCGGAAGGTAGATGGATGGGGAAGAGATTTTCAGGATCGTTGGGGAGGGAGGCTGGGGATCCTGTATTTAGATTAGTGGCGAATGTTTAGAGAAGGGGATGGGGGGTTCAATGGGTTGATGAGTAAGAAGGGAGGGAAAGATAGAGTAGTGTGTCGTGTGTGTGTGTGTGTGTAGGTGGAAATTAAAAATTGGGCGTGATAGCGTCGCCTTCTTTTTCCTTTCATCTGATTCTATTGAGTTGTTCATATCTTGCTTGCTTGCTTGCTTGCTTGTGTGCTTGTGTGCTTGCGCGTGAATGGTATTATTGCATCTATTATCTGTGTGTGAATCGATGACGTGATGTGACATGATGTCTGTCGTATGTGTAAAACTAGGCTTTTTCTCTTCACTCTACGAAGAGGCTACTCTAGAGGCTATGGATGGGTCTCTGGATGGGTCTCTGGATGATGGACTGAGATCTGGAGTCTGGGTGGTGGACTACTCGTAGATGGTGAACTAGATGGTGAATTAGATGGTGAATTAGATGATGAATTAGATGATGAACTAGATGGTGAACTAGATGGTGAACTGACTCATTGTGTTAGTTTTGGGGTGGAATCATGAGTAGTAGTGTAGGGTAGTGTAGTATAGCATAGTATGGTATAGCGTGATCTGGAATGGTATGGTATGGTATGGTTGGTATGGTATAGCGTGATCTGGAATGGTATGGTATGGTTGGTATAGCGTGATCTGGAATGGTATGGTATGGTATGGTATGGTATGGTATAGCGTGATCTGGAATGGTATGGTATGGTATGGTATGGTATAGTATGATCGCCAAAGTGGAGTGAGTGAATGAGCGACGGGGCGACGGATAGCATGGGAGGGAAGAGGGAAGTCCGGGAAGAGGGAAGAGGGAAGAGGGAAGAGGGGAGGAAAAGATTTGTTTGCCCCTCTGGATCATGTAGGGTGTAGGGGAAGGGGAAGGGAAGGGGAAGGGAAGGGGAAGGGAAGGGGAAGGGAAGGGGAAGGGAAGGGGAAGGGAAGGGGAAGGGAAGGGGAAGGGAAGGGGAAGGGAAGGGGAAGGGAAGGGAAAGGGAAGGGGAAGGGAAGAGCTTGGGTGGGTGTGGATGTTGGTGAGGATGTTGGTGAGGATGTGGATGTGGATGTTGGTGAGGATCCTTGATCGATCTTGCATTGGGTATCTTGTTTTTTGTTGGTTCTTGTTTCTTGTTTCTTATATTGGGTATGGATGGAGCTATGGATAGGTGGGTGGGTGGACTATGGGTATGTAGCTATAGGATAGGTTTCAGGGTATATAGCTATAGAATAGCTATAGGATAGCTATTCGTAGGGTATGATAGGTTCTAGGATGAATATGGAATGTGGAATGTGGAATGTAGAATGTGCAATTTGGAGAGATCTTCAGGGTCGATGATGGATGCATTGTATACTTTGTAGTATATATATGTATGTATGTATGTATGTATGTATGTATGTATGTATGTATGTATGTATGTATGTATGTATGTATGTATGTATGTATGTATGTATGTATATATATCCGATTTCATAACGTGTATTCAAAATATAACTTTTTTTTGATCTAATCAACTTTTTGCTAAATCCTATATAGAAATAATTCAATTGCTTTTAATTCAATCAATATAATCTCAAATTGAAAAAACTCTGTATTATAATATAGATTTTAATTAATAAAATCAAAAAACAAAATTTGAATCGTTTTAATTAAGAATTTATTAAATTGGAGATGGTTAAATGAAAATTCAATTTTCGAAAGATCAAAAATCTAATAATTATTTTAAAAATTACAATTTTATTTAATCATTTTCAATTCGATAAATCTTTAATTAAAATAATTCAAATTTTGTTTTTTGATTTTATTAATTGAGATTTATATTATAATACAAGTCTTTTTCAATTTGAAATTATATTGATTGATTTAGATTTTTAGATTTCAAAAATTCAATTAGGTGATATTCGAAAAGGTACTTTTTTTGTGGACACACGTTATGAAATCGGGTGTATATATGTATGTATATATGTATGTATATGTATGTACTATGTATGTATCTTACTTTCCTTTGGGAACTGGGGAACTGGGAGTTGAAAGGGTAGGGAGGGTACTGAGGCTACTGAGGCTAGGTACTAGAGTATATAGTTTGATTCTGATTCTAGTTCCAGTCTCTAATTTTCTTAGTTATTAATCATACTTTTGGGGGTTGATAACCTTATGGGTCGTTTGGTGTAGGTAGGTGGTATCTTTAGGGTAAGATTGTTTTTGAATTTTGTAGTATGGATACATATGATATAATAATAATATGGTGTAGTAGAGTTAGAGTATGATAAAGTATATAATCCTCACCTAGACCCTAAACTCTAAACCCTGAACTCTAATAAATTCTTCTTACGGAGGTTGTCAGCGTAAGTATTGTAAAACACACTAAAAAGCGACCGAGCTTTTCCCCATTTTTATCGTTTGGACCAATCATATCATCACGCTGGTTGAAAATTTATATGGTGAACTCCAGACGGTGAAAGTATTGTAAATTTATTCTACCCCTAGCAAAATCACTCAAATTTATCGAAATTCATATTTTTCTTTTCAGAAATGCTATTCTAAGCTTATTTAGAACCTATAGGAAGCTTTGAAAGCTTCAAAAGCTTCAAAATTAAAAGAGTTGAAAATTTGAATAAAAGGGGTGAAAATTCGAAATTTTGGGGGGGATGGTTGAATATCTAGTAAAATTAGTAAAAGCAGCATTGGAATTTCGTAAAACAGCAACTTTTATTAAAAATGGGGCTTACACGACTTACGCCTTCAACCTCCGTATTCTCTAGACCCTTAGATATACTTACGATACGGAGTACACACATAGCTTGTCAATATAGCATATATATACGAATCTAGATATCTATTATCATATAATTTCATCTGTAGATATCTATGTCATACAATACCCAGCACTTCCAGAATCTTTCATCCCATTATCATATCATATCATATCATATCGTAGTACGTATATCGTAAGAAGTATACGTGCCACCTAGCTTCCATCCATCGCGGGAACATCTTCCATAATCCCTCCCTTGACGCTTCCTCGTAAATCGCACATCAGAAAATTCCCAGTTCCAACGGCCGGATCATTCCACGAGAGAAAGACCCCAACCACCTCCTTTTCTCTGTCTACGCGATATGATCATATGAATATGTATGATATGCCATGATGTGATGTGATGTGATGTGACATTACAAATCAACTACCCAGGTATCTAACTTCCATATTACTGGTCATGGTTACATACATACAAACACATACATCGTACCGACGCGGCATTGATCTCCGGATCCCAAGTGGATCGATGCCTCTCGTTCACGATGGACTGTGATGATCCAATTTGCCTATCATGATTTTCATCTCGTATCGTGTGTTGTGTTGATTTTGTTGGCTTGACAACGTAGGGAGCTCTACAGACTACAGTACTAATAAATGTGAGGTCGACTAGGGACTGGGTTTATCACAGACTACCTACAGACGACATCGTACAGACAGTAGTACTCTGGACGGGAAAATTTGGGAAATGTTGAATCAAGCAATGGGCTTTTGTAAATTGTAAAGTGTAAAGTGTAAATAACGAAACGGCATGGAATGGGATGAATGGATGGACAGGGATCGGTTTATTCATTTGGGTACCCATACATGCTAGTAGGAATCCTAGTCCTTGTTCTAGAATCGTTCCGAGGGTTTCGAAATGAACGCGAGATGAGTCTCGGAGAGGGAGGCTCGGGAGGCATGGTTTACTAGGAGATGGTTAGTAATATGTGCAGAGGAGGGAGATAGATGCTAGGTTGATACGAGCATCGGGTGAATATCAAACGTTCGAGAGGTATGTATGAAATTGAGATGTATGAAATCATGGATGGGCATGGGCATGGGCATGGATTGGTTGGCTGGTCCGGCTGGTCCTTGGCTTGGGTATGTAAGATCTTATGTATGTATCATATTGTATGGGATGAATGGATGGATGGATGGATGGATGGATGGATTAATCATTTACGATAGATAGATAGATAGTGGAGTCGATAAAGTGCTACTACGACGTCCTGTATGGAAAACGGCAAGTAAGCAACCAAGTACCGACAGGAAAAGAGGAAATTGCCGTTGAGAAGTTGGGAGTTGTAACGGGTGGAGGGGGGTAAGTAAGCTTACCTACTTGACTTACTTTCTTACCGGCCGGGGAAAGAGGAAGATGATGTTTGAGGCGTTGATATGATGAGTCGTTTTGGTTTTGGTTTTGATTCTTGGCTCTGCTTTTGGTTCTGGCAGACTGGTTTCGATGCTTGATTTTTCTTAGATATTCGTGGTTTGAGATGATGAGGGCTGGGAGGTTGGGAATGGATTGGAATGGATTGATGAGTTGGTTGGTTGGTGGCTGCGAGGATTATCTCTTGACTCTTGGGTATCAAAGTAGGGTACCGAAGTAGGTATGTATCATTTATCATGTATCGGAAGAGCCGTGTTTGTGATGAGTTTGTGATTCACGATTGAGACTTCATGGGGGAGGAAGGTCCGGGGAAGACGGAGGGGAAAGAGGAGGTTGGATCAATGGAAATGGAGAGGGAGAAACTTGTTCTTGGGATCTGGATTGCATTGGATTGGATTGGATTGGATTTGCAATTCTTTTCTTTTCATCATCTTTATTTTTTCTGTCTTTTCTGGATCTTTTCCTGTAGATTATTACTATAAATTATTACTATAAATTCAGATCCTGTTTATATTTTGATTCCTTATTTTTTCCCCAAAGGGGAATAAATATCATATTACCAGCCTTCGAATTGGGAGTACCAGACTATACTTCGTAGGCTCGGCCTAACCGGCTAGTCTTACATAGTATCTAGCTGACACCGGCTCGAGACCGGTGACTAGTATAGTTTCCGTGCCGGCTGCTACCCAAGTAGGTAAAATGTACAATGGGCGATTTAAACTTTTCAATAAAGGTTAAAGGCTGGGGGTGTTGATTGTTTAGGGAATTAGTATATATGCTAGAGTCTAGAAGTGTATGTACTTATGGTGTGGTCACTGGTCAGACACTAGGAGTTTAAATCCGCTACGAGACATATTTGATGGATGGATGCCCAAAGGTCTAAAAGTGCGAATCTGTCGCTCTGGACTTTGGGGAGGAGATTGGAAAGGATGGGCGCTTGGGAATGATGGATTGTAAATCGTGAGTTGTGAATCGTGAATCATGATGATGCTTGAGCTGAGCCGAGCTGAGCTGAGCAGAACTGAACTGAACTGGGACGGAACGCATCTTTCAGGATTTTTCTGATTGAGGTTGAAATCAGATCCTGAGGCAATGATATGGATGTTATGGCACCGCAGTCGATTGACTTTGGGAGTCTTGAAGAGGACGAGAGATTGGGATTTGATAGCAGAAGTGGGCATATGTCTGTGTGGTTTTGAAATTTGAAGGCAAATTGATCTTTTTCCCGCGCAAGTGCGTGTGTCTAAATCTCGAGGAAAAGGTATCTATCTACGACGAAGATTCATGATTCTTGACTCGAACCGAACCTCTCAATGATAATAAACTATCACGTCCTAGACTGATACCATGGAAACAAAAATCTCAATCACAACATCTTACAACCAACAACGCATTGAAAGGTGCATCCACCGCAACCCCATTTGTGTTTTCTCTCTCTAATTCCTTTACAAATGTCATCCCCTTTCCACTTCCCTTCGTATTATAAGCATCTATCTTCGCCATCACATTTGCAGTAGCAGTAATAGAGCTTTGTGACCAAAAAGGACCGAGATAATTAGGCCATGTATATCAAGTACGGAATACATCCACAAGTCCTACTTCTTCAAAAAGAGCTTCCAAACACTCAACCCATCTATGTCACTATTAGTATCTTATCTTAAATCAACTTTGTCCGAGAAATGGATCCTCCTCACCCATATTCACTATCCGGCTTCAGTCTATGAAATGTATTACAAAGTCTTTCCGACGCAGTCGTCCTCACCATTCCTTTCTGCATCACAACCACTTCCTCAGCCAGCGGCAGCGGTTCCATCCACTGTAAATAGGTAGCCTCCCGGCTCTACATTCCCACGTGTTATTTCGCAAGTCTAAAATCAAGAGTTCAAAGTACAAAGTCCACCACACTCCAGTGACACAAACAACAAACTCCCCGACAGAAAACCAAACACAATCCCCACTTCCTCAACAGCGAAAGCAATTTCCGCAGCAAAGGTTTCGCATCCGTATCATTCACAACACGGAGCCAAAAGCGCGCATGCACAATATCATGCTGTTCTTGAAACTCGCTCGCGTAGTCCTGAAACCCGTCGTGGGTGTACAAGTAAGTGTACGTTTTGCGGACGGAAACCCGCCGCGGGGAATTGGGCGGCGGAGATGTCGAAGCAGTCGATTTGGACGGTGGGGAAGGTGGTGGGGTATATCGCAGGCCCATATTCTGGAGTTGGGGGGAGGGTTGGTATTTGTGTGGGGATTGCATGGGGAGGGGGAGGGAAGGTGCGTATGCATGGTAATACGTGAATGAATGATTGAATTGATTGGATTACTCACCCGGTTTCAGTGCCTACATCTGCAATTCATAGATTAGGTTGATGCGTGGGGATACTGGATGGAGGAGGTATCCGGCAACTTCTTTGATCAGGAAGTGATTATAGTTCAAGCTGCAATAGATATAGATTAGTATCATGATATTGGGTGTCTATCAAAATATCTTACCGCATGGAAGATTTATAGTCACGCTTGAATATACATTCTTGATTATTGTTTGGTTCTTGTTTATCCTGTCACGGTTCTGCTTTGGATGCCATTTTACCTTTCTTTGTAGATACCCAAGAAGATTGTTGGGAAAGACAAAAGGAGAAAGAGGGATGTGATGGGAAACATTCCATAGAGAGACTCCTTTATACTTAAGTAAAGTACATACGAACGGTTGCTATAATAAAGTAAGATCCTCTGCGGCGTAGTAATCTTACACATGTAAACGAATAAACATGCAAAAATGCAACAGTTAGACTTCGTATCCCCCTCTCGCATCTTTCGACGTCAGACACAGCACTTTCGTAATTCTCGTGACCCGGTAATCTGATCCAGTGTTACAATTCTCAATTGCTATACTATCAGCCCGCATCATTAGCGATTTAGGCCCTCTTTCGGATATGTTGAAGCACCCACCGTCTATTCTATGGCTTGGCTGTGGATGTGCTGCTTAAGCTACTGATTGTATTGCAGCTAGTATGACAAGTGTGCTTGTCAACAATGTAGCAATGCACTGGCTTCTCGTAGAGCTAGCTATGGTACAGGATGTTCAGATTCGACTAAAGACTTGTAGCTTGAATACAAACCAGCGAAAGCAGCTTCTTCTCACTGTTTAAGGAAGACTTTGAAGGGAGTAGATAACATCAAAAGGCCTCGCAGTGGGTTATACATACCCCCTCCCCCCATCACTCGTCATATAAATTACGACGTGTCACTCCATATCAATTTGCTAGATAAATTTAACCTCTTAGTATTGCTTCACTTGCGTACATTTGATTTTCCTAGGAAAAGATTTCGTAACCCCATTACATCTAAATGCAATTCCTTATAAACCCACATGACTGTGCTTCGATCTAAGCCTATATATTTCCTGATGTAGCTCGTGTAACCATTGCTCATCTCCGAGCTCTACTAATTTGAGGGTATCTCTTAGCTTTATCAACTTATCTGGCGTACTCTCTGGCAAGGTTGCCAAGAATCCATCATCGTCGCAGCGCACATAGGAGTCGATCTCTGGGATGTAGAAATTCGATTCATCCTGAGATTCATCAGGCCAACAACATAAAACATCGACTACCTCGACCTTCTTCCAGTATTCGATGGCATCATAGTTTCTTTCTTCCTCTATTTCTTTGCGATATAATTCAAAATGTCTATCGAAAAGATATCGCGCTTTCAGTATTTTCTCCAACACTCGATACCTATCATCCGCCTCCTCAGACGGAACTTGACGCCCGTCCTTATCTTTGAGGTCTAGCTTGAGCAAGTTTTTATCAGTGTTAAGAAGTCGAGTAGCAGAAGGCATCTCCCTTGCGCAATCATGCGAACCAATAACACTGAGCCTCTTGAGACCTGGGCATCGCGAATAGACATCATCCAACAGCCCGGTCATTTTGTCAGCGATCAAAGGTGTGCTGGCTGATAAACATTCAAATTTGCTCACGGCAATATGGGTAAGCCTCTCGAGATTGAGTGATTCGTTATGATAATGTAAATATCATAGTGAATCATAGTCCATCACAAGAATATCTTCCAAAAGTCGTATATAAGTATATTTGAGAACCTCATCGCCACAGTCTTCGAAGCCTATCTTATGGCACCCACTAGACATCTCGTTGGTCGTATGTGGGTGACCATCCAGAGGCTCAATCTTGATCTTAGTAAATCCATCTCCGAGATAGACTGAGGCATTTGACGTTGTGCATGTTTCAAGCAGAGGTAACAGGCCTGGTGCCCTGGTTTTACGCACGCTCGTGTGGAAGCAGGTTCCTTCTTCATGCTTCGAAGCCACGAGTTCAAGTCTGAGATAGACGATGCGCGGGTCAGGAAGTGCGAGTTTGAAGATCTTAATCTGTATTTCTCGAGGGAATTCTCCAAATCTATGGTGTGTTTTGGTGTTTCCAGTGATAGACTGATTTCTTCTCACTGGGAGAGGTGGGGTCATGTTGACTGTGCCTTGTTAGTAATGATATATGGTAGAGAAGACAATTTGAAGCTTTACCTTGAATCTTCTTATCTGCAGTATTATTATCCTTGAGAAATTCCATGCCATTTTGTTGCGAGGCAGTTGTGTTGGCCGACATGACGCTGAATCCTTCACAGTTTTTCTGCTGTGAAACAAAATATGATGTCCGGTCTGGGGGAGTACAAAAATGCGATGGAGTTGAGTTGATTGTTGTGTTTGGTACTTGAAGAGTTATTGAAATGTAATGTCGAGTACTCAGCAATTCCAGGTGGCCCTGACCGAGAAACAAGTGGGTTGTGAGAAGAAAGCTTTTTTTGAGAAGTAGGAGAGGAACCTTGGTAGTTAGCCATTGATATGGCTGACTATGAACTGAATGGTTGATTTCCAAGGTTAGTGTAGCGACTGTATTCACTCTTCGGATTTTGAAGAGACAGAGTACCCTGCCCATAACATGTTACCTAGCATGAACTGTATGCTCGGATTCACTTGTTCCCCTTGAAATCATTTGAATTATTCAATTTTAAAATGGACAATTTGTCCGGGCTCGATGAAACCATGATTTTGTGACCATAATTTATTGGACTCAATAAGTCAACGCTATAAAAGAATAACTTCTGACAATTGATGTTCGAATTTATTCGCTCGCATTCCATCTCCATCACACTGTGAAGTCTGACAATTCAGCTTTATAAATCCATATCTTTGGTAACACCCCTGGGGTTGATCACCCATCTCTTGTACCAATAATCCATAGTGTGTGTGAGATTGCCGTCCTCCAAGAAGCAGTACCTGGACAGTAACCCCTTTGAGCAATGTATCACGACTAGCATTATGTAGTATGTTGGTGGCCGTCGAATGATTTGATCCAAGCTGATTATCAAGCCATACCCAAAAGTAATGGTCTAGTGGTTCCCCATCATCGCAATCAATACTAACGTTCCCTGAAGGAGGGAAGGATTCCCAAAGTTCATAAACTAGGTCGACATGGATTATTGGCGCTTTGATATGAAGCTTCGAGTCGATGATGTCTGTCAAGCTCGTGTTTCCTGGATACGTCGGGAACATATGTGGATGAACATCATGAATATAGGAGTGCCAATCACCTTTAGGGATATCTGAAAACTGGACAGGCCCATTCGAGGCCCAGCACCAGGTAGGAAAACGGTCGTCCCTAGGTTCTACGGATACATCCGGCAATGCATCGAAAGGACCTCTAGGGGAGTAGTTCCACGCAAGCCCTTGAGCAAGATATGGCCGGAACACGCCGTTAAAGTATTCAACTTTAAGTCGTTCTATGATGAGACAAGCAATACCATGAATGGCGTATATCCGATCTTTGGAAAATGTTAAGCCTTTCTCCGATAGCAAACGAAGTAAGCGATGCCAGCCATCGTGGGTCAAGAGTTTGTTGTCAGGCATCGCTAAAATATCCCGAGGAGTAGCAGTAGCGGCATAATCATACGTCTCCCACTTTTTGGAACTTCCCTCTAGAAAGTAGGAAGATTGGCATTCGCGGTATAGCCCATTAGAGGTCCAATGAAGTACACGTGGTGGAAGCGAAAGCTCCTGTAAGCACCATCCGCGTTTTGACAGTGGCGATTCATCAATAACATTCCTCAATGTCGCGACGTTTTCTTTTGAATGCAGTGTTATAGATTGCCGATCCGGACCAACAGTACCTGGGTAGGTTAGGAAAATGAACTGGATTGGGTACCGCCCAAGCAGCCTTTCTCTGAGGAATCCTTCCGCTGCATCATTAGCAACTGACGCAGCAATACAGCGCTCGGCGTTGGCGTAGTAATCTCGCATTTTGCTCGCCTCCGTTTGGAATTCGCTATAGTCATCGTTCTCTGAGGATTGAATAATGCAAATTGCATCGACCCATAGGTAACGGATGTTCATCATTCTAGTCAAAATTATTGCATCTTGTACGGTCTTAGGAAGGTAAGCAATATCGAAGCTGCGTAGACGATCCTCAAGATTCCCTGTGGTCGTTTTTGCAACGTCGTTTCCTCTACCCCAACAATAACTGAGAATCAAGTATGGATGTTTGGATGGCTCCATGGAATCCATTGTCGTGATGAGCCGAACGCTTTCGTTATTCATGGTTCCCACATCAATGAGGCGAGTTGGCAAGATATTCGTACCAACTGTACGGCCGCAATTCTCATGATTCTCCGGCGATTATAACAGGCTTCAATCCAAGGCTTAATTTGCGTATTGACCAAGTCTTCGAGATCCTCCAAGACTTCTCCTTGGGCAAATTCTGGAAGAAAAACGTAGATCAGTATGGCTTGTGGCAAGCTAAATGAGAGATAATACAAATGACACACGTTTGATACGTCGAGATTCCGGTTTCGCTGGAATTTTCTCTTCGGCAGAATTGGGCTCGAGGAACCACATAGGAAGACAATCATGACCGGCTGCCTCTCCTACATCTACTAAAATGCCCACTCGTTTGCCATATAGCACGCGAATATAGAAATCCAATGGGGTTTTGGCAGATGGTAGTGTAGTTTGTCGATCCATAAGCATCGAGATTATACGTAACCAGAAGTATTGGCAGAGAATACAGCCCGCATCAGCTGAGATTTGGAGAGAGCCGAAGATTCTGTGGTGAGGAAATGGCCTACTCTGAGTTTCATAGCGTATGTCTCGTGGCCATGGAATAACCTTGCAGTGTTTGCAAAGTTGCGGGGAAGGATGTAAGAACAAGGGTTGATCTGACATATTGTCCAGCGACAAGATGTCGATGGGTTGAAAGTTATCGTTTTATGGGTATGCCTGAATAACCATACAAGTTGTAAAGAAGACCTACTCCAGCAGAGAAGAAAGGGTCTGAAAAACTTGGGGCAGCTTAATTCCGGGTCCCTTGAAATAGAGACATTCCCGGCGAAGAATAAAAAAGAATGTCCGAAGAAAAAACCAGTATCCTCTTGTGAGGCTTTGTTCTAGCTTCAAAGTCTCTTAGGCAAGAGACGGCCTATATATATATATTTAAGTCTGATGCCTAGAAGCAGCACTTAGTCACTACTCTATGATATCTTTTGCAATCTTGGATACATAGCGGAAAAAGACGCACCATAAAGATTGAATTAATCGACTATTAGCTCACACTTGTTTATTTCACCTCTATTCGCCGTGCCTATGCACCACTGGAACTGAAGCATGCTTAACAATAGTGTTGCAAGCATCAATAAGTTGGCACTCAAGGAAGTAAGGAATCTTTTCTTTGCCTGAAACTATTCAGAGACGAAGTAATTAAATCTTACTGAGCCTCAACACGTGTTTCTCGGTCGGTCCACCTTCCTATTCAAGAGGCTGTACTATCGGGGCAGCGAGAACATCAGGCTCTTAATTGAGCTGATCACATGCTGCGAAGAAAGACATTTCGAAGGGGAACACGATAAGACTTCAAGAAGAAACAGAGGAGAGAGTTGCTTCCAAATCATCGTATCTGATCTCTGGAGCAACAGGCTCACTGGTGGTCCTGGGGTTAATTCGCGTGTCTCTCGCCCAGCATTGTTTCTGACGTCGTGATTGCCACGAAGGGACGGGGCTCCTTTTGGATATCAAAATATTTTGTGCTCAATGTGAAAATCATTTATTCAGCGCATTTTACGGTGACCTGGTGAATATTTGAGTGCTTGCAAGTGTCTGTCTGCACTTTGCAGGATACATTGTGTGTGGGGGCCGTTGTGGGGGCCGTGGGAGATTCATCACAATTTACAAAGCTATTTTGCGTCCGGTGTTTATCCGGAAAGCTACCTACGAGCCTACCTAGGTGTACATACCAATCGAGAAACTGTGATCGATTCAAATGCCTTGTTCATTGCACTTGTTTTTCACATTGAAGACATGTGATAAGATACTGCAAGAAAATCTCAAAAGGATTCAATAAATTGCTCGATAATCACTATAAAAATCTAGATGCTCTTAATATCGCTAATATATATGGATGCACGCAACGCAAATGATCATGGTATCATTCCAAAAGATGACCCCGATTTACCTTCATCCAACCCGCATGTCTTCTTCGTCCGTCTTCTCACGAAACTAACCCTCTATTGTGGGTCATAAACTCATTGTTGATATCTACTCCTCTTCAATGAAATTCGACCTCCACTCTTCCATACCTGTATCCATCCACTTTCAATTCAAACGCCAATCCGGCGCTTTCTACCACCATCTCTAGAGTAAAATCTAAATTAAGAAATTCCACTCCCCTCGTGGTCGTCAATCTCGTATACAGACTTTTCGGTACGGCTCCCAGATCCGTGGTGAGCGTGCACACGCTTATTAGGTCTCTCGTGAAGGACGCCGGAGGTTCGCCATCCGAATCGCAAGCAATAAGATCATCGGATACGATTAGTGATTGCCCTGGGCGGAAATTGCGCGTATAGTGGAAAGAGATGGGAGTGTCTGTGTTGAGAGTATCGCCCTGGATGGGGTTAGTGGTGCTGTCGAGGCAAAGGGGGGAGGGAAAAGTTAAATTCACCTTATTTAGATGCCATTGCATCCTATCGCTGACCATCCAACGTTCCCATAATGGACTCCAATATCTCTCACTAACATTGTGTTTATCCTCATCATACACCGTTGCATACGAAGTTCCATAATGCATCCGCGCCTTTCTGGACACCACCACGCTTCCTTCCAATCCTTTGAGAACCGCTCCTCGGACCACGGCAGTCCATGCATTGATAGGCTGCATTACCTCTACAGAATTGCTTTGTGCCAAGGCTATAGACTGTGCGTGAGTTGGTCGTTCACTGTAAGGTGGTGGCGCTGCACTGTTGAAATGCGATTTTAATCTCTTGTATAAATGGTTGCTTTGTCCAAATCCTCCAACAAGTACGATGCCTGAAACGATACCCCCTTTTTGTCTGATACCATCAACTTGACCTTGAACCAGATCACACACCTCTTTGACGACTGGCTCAAAAATGTCTTTGACTTGAGCAGTTGTCATAATAAAAAACCCACCATCTAGACCTGCATCTATGTCATCTGCTAGGCCAGGAAGAGGAATATTGAACTCTGTATCGTTCTCTTCGTCGAAATCTCGCTTGACATATTCTTCCCAGTATTTTAGTCCCATTTGCCACGACTTCGCTTTCTTCATTTTCATCTCTTCAAATCGTGCAACTCCAATCCGACTCTTGCAATGTTCCTCAAATCGATAATTGAGGAACGCACTTCCGCAAAGCCCTCCGGTACCTACTGCGGACTCTTCTACTTGCAATGGCTTGAGAGATATGATTTTGTAGGCGATAAGATCAACAGTACCACCTCCGGCATCACAAACTACAAAGTTATCACCGGCCTGTAGATGATTTGGCTGGATGGCTTTCAGAGTATAGACAGCAGCGGCTTCAGGCTCACTGATCATCTGAATTGCTGACTTATCACCCATTCCCGCTCTCTCTGCAGCTTGAAGCGTGGTATTCTTCGCCGCATCAGACCAGACTGCTGGACAGGTAAGAACAAATTCGACTTTCGTGGTTGACATGAATAATTCTCCGTATCGGCGGGTCAAGGTCTCCATGGTATGCTTGTAGATTTGAGTCAAGTAATCACTGACAGCATCGACAACATTTTTGCTATGCTCTTTCAGCTGGTTGGCAGTTTCAGCTGGACTAACATAGAAAGGTAATTTTTGAGATCGGTCGAGAAAAAGTTTGATACATCGCAGTCGAGGTTCCTCGGGACGAAATTGACAGCCCCATTTTATCGTCGGTTGAGTTCCAACTGGTGATCCTGGAGGTTTGGAGTATCCAATTTCTGTTGGCACTTTATCAGATGTAATTCCATTACTTCCGGGCCAAGTTTTAATGATATCTACATCATCGGGGTTCGATGTGTACACAACAGCAACACTGGTTCAACGTTAGCATTTGTGTAGGAATCTGAGTGAACTATGTTGCAAAGGCTTGTGTGAGGTGCTGATTTAATGAAATGACTTCATTAAGCACTATAATATCAAGACTTTTAAGATTTATATAGATGCAGAAATTGTAGTGTCGAATTTGATGAGCACTCGAGTACAAACAGCCGACACAGGTGAATGGCGTAATTATCCAGAAACATAGGATCTCGTTTTGGTGGTGCCACAAATGTCTTGGCAAAACAAGCTGTGAAAATAAACATACCCAGAATATGTTGTCCCGAAATCCAGTCCAACAATTAATCTTTCATTGACGGGTGCTGGTTCTCGTATTGGTCCAGCAATAGCCTCAGTTGAAGAGGTGGGAGTATAGTTGCCAGAAATATAGTGATTTCGACTTTCATCATTTCTTCGACTAGCAGTCCGTATAGGTAGGTTGAGGTTCATAGTGACCATTTAAGATGATTTTGACTGTTTTGACTTGGAGGATGTACTATCCACGACGGTTTTCTACCCACGGTCGTATTTGTATCGAGACTAGGAGGAAAGTCGCTTGATGCCCCTCAATTGAGCCCCGCCGGATCCCAAACCAAGCTTTTTGAGCAAAACAGTCAACAGACGGAGGAGAATCAGATGTTTTGTTCAGTTGTCTTTCTCAGAGCTGAAAAAGAAAGATCTGAGCCAGCTATTCGGGAGGTATTGTGAGATCGCAAGACTTTGAAGCGTTTAATGATATTCCGGTGTGAAGCGCAAACGTGGGGGAATCAAATACAAAAAACCATTGCAGATTTTCTAGAACGATAAGAATAAATTTCGAGGCTATATCTTTTTGAACTTCAGAAGATATACACAAGAATTGAATGGGTACAACGATGGCTGATCAGGAACAATATTGATCGCTTGGTCAGGACAGGAGTAATTAAGACTCCGCCATAGGCAGCAGTAAAATGGAATTTGGAAGCCTGAAGTAATACTGACGAATACCTCGGGGTAGATTTCCTATTGAATAGGATAGGATCGCCGGATGCAAAACAGACGGTTAACTATATTGAGATTATTGGATATGAATATCTTGACGAGAGCCTTGAATATATAACATATATATATAAAGTCGTAATCAAAAGAAAGCGATGTTTATTTTAAGGCGATGGGTGGAGTTGGTCGTGCAGCATAATGTTAAGGTTATGGTTATGGAATGATCCAAATCACTTGGACATCCCACCTCGAGCCCACCTACAAATTAGCCGCACTCAGTGTTACATTAGCGAACCTTTTACGGACGCACTCGCGTACTCAACCCCCTTCAGGCTATCATAACAGAATCAGATCAACTCTTGTCTTGGTAGGGCTGAATAGTTTCAACGCTGCATCTTTGTGTGATACGTGATCTGAGAATGGAGTTATGGGCATGTGGGTTCAATGCTTGGAATCAACTGCAATTCGAGGGAGATCTTCCTGATGAGCCTGAAGATGTCCTTAGCTTCAAACGAGTATTAAGAGCAGAGGGAAGTATTGATATTCTTGAAACTTCTTTTTCGGCTTGTTTAGGTATGTTGATATTACTTTGACGGCTTCTTGAATTTTTTTGTTATTGCGTTTTTACAGAGAGATGGAGGTAGGATCACGTGTATATCACATGATTCGATACATCGATTTCATGAGTGAGAATAAAATGGCTCCAGCGAGTGGCAAGTCTGTGCAAAGATGTACGTTAGAGTTCTAGTTAAAACTCAAGGAGAGGTAAAGGAAGCTACAACTTCAGAAGCCTACTTAAAATTGGACAGAGTGTACATATGTCATGAGTATGCGTTTACAAGAGTTTGAGGCTAGCCCTCATCTTATTCATCAATCAGTCAAACAGACCACGAGGATGATGTAGATTCAATACATATTATAACTTTTCTCGTAACAATACATCATTTCATCAAATATGGTACTAATATACTTGCAATTCTAGCAGTAGTATCGAATGATCCCTCGGATCTCCACAAAGAGATAAAGGTTGCCGGTTCCCCAGATGGATTTTTACAAGCACGATTAGAAAAGGCCACTGGATTGAATAGTACGCAACCCTCAGAAGAACGAACAGACTCTAAGATACCCGAGGATACTGCAAGTAAGGCTACCGCAGCTGGAAACGACAAGATTGCAGGTAACCTCAAATTCCCCATGCTCACCCATCAACAATCTACTAAACTCTTCAGCTTTCACACCAACAACCCTAATCCAATACCCCTCTCTTTCCGCATACCTCTCTCAAGCCAATACAGATTTCACATTCCCCCTCCCCCACATCACACAACTCGTCTCCAACACCACCACCTTCACGGCCCTCACCCAAGAAGGAAACGTCTACACCTGGGGCGACGAACGCTATCCCTCCTGTCTCGGCCGCGAACCCACCTCTTCAAATCCAGCATCTCAACCCACCCTCCTCACCTCTCTTGTCTCTCTTCCCACCGGGCAAATTCGCAAATTATCTTCTTCAGGCCCCCTAACTGCCGCTCTTACCACCGGTCATGATCTTTACATTTGGGGTCGCACCAATACCCCCTCTATAATTCCCGAACTAAAAGACTCCTCTTCATTTTCATCCTCGGACGATTACGATCCCATTCCACTCGATATTCACGGAGCCGACATCCTCGATTTCAGCATTGGCGAGAATCACATGTTGGTGCTGACGACGGATGGAGAATTGTATGTCATTGGGGAGAATGGGAATGGACAACTTGGGCTCGGAGATCGGGAGAAAGAGAGATGCGAGGAGTGGAGGTTGGTTGATCTAGGGTTTGAGAGAGGGAGTACGAAGAAATGTGTAGGAGTGCGGGCAGGGTACAAGTGTAGCTTTGCACTCGTGGAGGATCTCTCTTCATGAAACCAGTTTGTGGGTATTTCATCTAACGTTTTATCGAAGCCTTTGAACAGGATTAAATGGAATAACAATTCGAAGAGACCTTACAATAAGTTGGAGAGCAAGAATGGATGGAAGTACATCAGTATGGTATCTCTTTGCTCATTTTGCCTTCTTATGCCATTCTATAATACATCATGACCTTGGGACTACGTTAAAGCTCATTGCTATTGCAGAATAAAAGAAAAGCAGCTAGCTCATAGATTCGTAAGGTAATCCTCAATTTCTTGAGGGCTCAGTTTTCTAAAACGTGGGCCTTGAGCACCTTCGACTCCCTCAATGCCCATTAAATGATCGGCTGGTGGTCCTACAATACCTAGGAAGATGTTAGCGAAGTGAAATATCCATTGACGTTCTTAAACTTACCGATCTCTACTGTATCGCCATTCATCTCTCCTTCAATGGTCTCCTTCAACGTCAACAGAGCAATGTGTACGGCGTCTTCCAACTCCAATCCCTCGGTGTATCTCTTCTCCAAGAAAGTCTTTGCTGAAGTAGCATTCTTTCCAATGGCAGTCGCCTTCCATGGGAAGTAGCTGCCACTAGGATCAACTTGGTATAACATAGGTCCACCCTTCAAGATACCACCAGTCTTGCCCGATGGCTTCTTCTCATCCGGATGCACTTCTGCACCAGCAACATCCTCCGATTCTGGCTCAATTCCATCATCCCAACCTGCGATCAACAGACTAACACCATATGGTCGTACACCTCCCGATTGCGTAGCTTCTTGCATCACCCGTGCAACGTCTTGTACTAATATACGGGTGGGTGGGTATTCATTATAAATGCGCTTGTAGCCAGTGTGGGATACTTTGCGGGCCTTATCAACAAGTACGCGGTAATCAGGTCCCATGCCGGAGTAGACCATGCCAATGTTTGGAGTGATAAGAGAGACTTTTGAGAGGGAGGGGGGGTCGATGAGGGTTGATGAGGACTTCTTCTCCGTGGCGAGGACAATGCCGTTGGTAGCTGATGATAAGTTAGCACAAATACGTATGTTTAGTGAGGATATGTGTGTACCTTTGATTCCTAATGAGGTAACACCTTGGTTGACGGCGTTTAATGCATATTCTGTTTGCGATTTGATTAGTATGTAGAGCGGATGGGATATATCAACAAGTAAAGTTGTAGCTTGGCGCATATTTGATGTAAGCTTTATTTAATGGTACGAACCTATTTGAACCAATTTCCCACTTCAAAATGTTAGCAAAGTGCTTCTGCATGTATTATATATCACCTAGTAGGATCTCTGGGAGCTTTGGCTGGTTCAACCGTACCTGGGGGAGAAGGTTGTCAAGGAGAAAGAATATCTATCCGCCATTGTTCCTGTTTATTTCAAAACTTGTGCCGGAGGGATCTGGAGGTTCAAAATTACGGAAATGGTTGACGGAAATGTAAAGTATGGGTTGGGAGTTTAGAGAGTGAAGCTGTATTTGGGGTCGTTGGACTATAGAGCTACAGGCAGCTCTGGTCCACGACTACGCGATGAGAATTAACGCCTTAGATATCTGGCAGAAAGTCAGCTCAACGTCAGGCACCAAGTGATATCTGGGCAAATATTAGAGCTCTTCAAACTTCTTAGTTTTATTCACGAACTATATGTATTTTAATTTCTACGGGTAAATATTCTTCTACAATATACCAAACAAAATCTTAAAGGCAAAAGTATTGTAATGTAGACATTTATTATGGTGAATTTTTGAATACATTAGATTCAGTGGACAATTTTACATACTAGGTACGTATCTTATGTTTTCAAGATTTTCGGGGATTTTACTAGCGCATCTTTTTAAAGTGCACACACCTCAGAAATCTGATTCAAATCAAGAGAAAAAAAACCAAACATTTTATTTAAAGGTCATCAAGAAGCCACATCTCACCACTGTCGTCAATGTCTCTACATGCTCTCCATCCTTCTTTAATGAAGTTTTCCTTTGATTGATTTTATTAACCATTTATTCACTGACATTCTAGTACATCAAACACAGCTCTTATGGAAATTCACTCTTTGTTCTTTTCTTCTTCTTGAATAGCCGGAGGTTTCAAACACTTGCAGGAACCATTCCTAGCTAGCTAATCATACATCGGAGATCGGAAAGTCAATAAGTAACCTTCTCCATCATCGCTATAGCTTTGATAGCTTTGTTTCTTCATTCATTTCTTCATACCTACAAATCTCATCAGCACAGAAATGGCAACTCCACAACCTACTTGGTCATGGGATGATCTGTCTGCAGAATACACCTCACAATCTTCTCGCCAAAGTCAGAACGACGCATTCACAGCGGACGAGCATACGCAACAAGAAGCTCCTGTACCGGAACCAGAGCCGGAACCAACACGTCGAAGATATTACCCATCCCGACTATGTCGAATTTGCCTGGAAACCGTAGAGCCGACCTTCGAAACTCCCACCGAAGGCATAGCTTCAATGCTCAGTCCAACACCCCGAGTGACATATAAATCGGAAGATCCTGAGTTGGGCCGTCTAATGCGACCATGCAAGTGCAACGGAAGTCAAAGATATGTTCATGAAGGCTGTTTGACAGCATGGAGATACACAAACCCTGGATCAAAAAACTATTATGAATGTCCTACGTGCCACTTTAGATATCACTTTCACAGGATGAAGTGGGGTCATTGGATCAGTAGTGCTTTGACACAACTATGTCTTACTTTGGCAATATTATTTGTTACGATTTTCGTCATGGGTTTCGTGGCCGATCCGATCATTAACTTTTATCTGGACCCGTATGATACTGTTTTTTCATTCCCTTCAATGGGAGGGAATGGTCCAGCTCTACATATCGTGGATACGGAAGCAAATACTTGGGCCGAGCATCTATTAAAAGGACTGGCGTCTTTGGGAATGCTCGGATTTGTTAAGATATTCTTTGCAATGTCCCCGTTGAGTTGGTGGAATGTAAGACAGACTGGCCTGTTCGGTGGCGGCCGCGCTCGAGCTGGAACAGGTCGGAATCGTCTAGAGAACATCAGTTGGACTCTTGTCATTATTGGTATTGGTGCCTTCTTAGTTGTGAGTCACTACCCACCTTATGATTATGGACATCTGCTAACAGCCTTCAGACAGTTTGGAAATGGACCAGAAGCTGGAGTAAATCAGTACTCGAAAAAGCTGGCGAGACCGTGATCGACGTTGGAGGCGACGATGCTGATGAAGAAGATGAACAGACACAAGCAGAAGTTGATGAGCAGGTGAACTCAGAAAATACAAGGGGAGAACATCCTCTAACACCTGTTGATCCCGAAATCAGGAAAACACAGTGAAGATACAGAGCAGAATCGCAAACATACATACATCAACATAAACTTATCTCACTATTTGTATGTCATTTTTTGTTGAACCAATGGCCTCCAAATATGTGAGAACCAGATATCCAGGAAGTACTTTTTCCCTCCCCATACACCTACACTTTTCCCGCACCTTCTTAAGTTGCCACGAGATCCTTCACAGTATCGTGTCGATTAGTCTGTGTGCGAAGAATAAGCCAACTCAGCTGGAGCCCAGAAATTCGAACGTCTTGTTCTATTTTTCACATACCGGCGTACCGCGAGTTTATTTGTCAACACCCCGTATCTTATATACGACCGGACTCTTTTGGGAATGGTTGGATTGAGATACATCTTTCTGATTCCTTCGCTGCGGCACTGGTTGTGGCATTATGCTAGGATGGGGAATTGGAGGGGACGTTGATACATTGTTTTGTAGCTTTGGATGAATGGGATAGGGAGTTGGGCATGGCTGGGCGGGTTTCATCGGGATTGGCGTGTACTTATTTCAAATATTAATCATGGATAATTTTCTTGAGATATTGCTTAGTATCGTGATTCATGTTCAAACGTCAACCCTGTCTCGTCTTATCTGTTTTATGGGATGGTTGATTTTCTTCCACTCCACTCCACGATTGTTATAATTTCACCTGAAATTGGCCACTCACTTCATAATAAATACACTTCAGCTGAAACACAAAACATATCCCTACGATTAGAAAGGTTACCTAATTTTGAAAGTGAGTATAACCATCTTGTATGAGAAAGCTCCCATTGCTGCATTCTATGTACTGTATTCTATAGTACAACACACTATTGTACAAGTAGTATCATATCGTATTATATCATCCTTGTTAATATCTACCATCTAGAACTTTGACTCCCTACGCTTCACAAAAAGCAATATGTGCCTCCAATCCCTCCTCAGCTTCAAACTCCAACTCGGTGCCTACTCCCACAAAGAATACATATCCTTCCTTCACCTCGAACTTTTCTCCTCCCGCTTTCATAGTTCCTTTACCACCGGTAACAACCATGATACTGGGTCCTCCCAGCTTCTCAATCATTTCCTTTTCTCCCTTTTGGAGGTCTAAAACTAACATATCGAATTCGCTCATTGGTGGTGCTAGGACCTTGGTCTTGCCATTCTTACCCTTAGAGCTTGATGTAGACTTGAGTATACATTCATCTTTTCCGACGGGGGAAAACGTCAGTGCGGCGCTGAATAAATCGACAGAGTCGCGGTCGGCACGGGGACAGAACCCAGTGTTTAAAACGTTATCGGAGCGTGCCATACATTCTACGATGTCACCGGAGAGGTAGGCGTGGATACCGTCTGCAGGGACGTAGATGGCGTCGCCTTTTTGGAGAATGAGATAGTTCATTGTGAGGAGGGCGACGAGGTTGCCGGGGTCCGAGGCGGAGTATTGATCGGCGAGGCGGGGTAACAGGGCGGGGATGTATGGTGAGGTAGGGAATTTTGAGGATGGGGTGTCTTTGAGGGTGTTGTAGATGGATTTTATTTCCTCATCGGAGAGAGAGAGGATTTTGTGGACGATAGATTTCAATGTGTCTTTCTCCATGGTGTCGGAGGAGGAAGAGAGGAATTTGGAGGTGAGAACTGGGATGCTAGTGAAGAGCGATTGGATATCAGAAAGAGGTTTCCATCCAACGAATACCTCGAATTTTCCAAGGGCAACGGCAATTTCGGGTTTGTGGTTTGTGTCGCCGAACTTCTCGGGGTCTTGTTCATGAAGCTTAGCCGCAAGCTTCTTGTCTGGATGGATTTGAAGAGGTAATGCTTTAGCTATTGAAAGGATCTGGAAGGATGAGATTAGTATAAACATTTACATGTGAGTATGGTATAGAGAGGGGAAAATACCTTTGGTAAATATGGTAGATCTGCTCCAAATTTATCGAGTATTGGTTTCCCGATCAGCTTCTCCTTGTTGGCATTGAGATGCTCTTGTAAGTCTTTGCCGTTTGACAAGATGAGAGATGGTGTAGTCGGATAGGTTCCCATCCACATCTCTGCGTATTCTTTACTCTCATCAAGCTTGAATTTGCCTCCTGGAGTAGAAGCTGCATACTTTGCTGCTAAAGACTCCTTACCTTGACGACCCCATGGATAGTTGTTGCATTGGCACTCCAATTGAATAACTGATGAAGATTCTGACATGATGAAGAGTTGTCTTTGAATTAAGGCGTATATTTTCTGTTTTGATACACAATTTCTGGATTACGCGGAATATGAAGCAAAAGAATAAACAATGGTAATAATGAGATTGAAACATAGGACATAGGAAAATTGATACCTACCAAGCTTTTAAAACGATTCCATACTCTACCTGGCGTCCCGGAGGTATGTCCTATACACTTACATAGATAATGACGTTGGATTTTGAGCTTTGTAAGTTGACTTGTTGTTACATCATAATATTTATTTTCTGTGGATGAAGGGGATTCTGTATGTCCGACCGACACCGATCGAAGAATCAACCAGACCAGATTATCATCGCTTGACTTCTAGACCCCCACGGTGCCACTCTGACATTTTAGTGTGCATGTTCGAGGCATCGTTGCATGGTACAAAAGCTTGGGATTGACAGCACAGGGCATACCGAGCTCTATTAATAAAATTAATAAGAAGCTTAAAGAGCCTTGTGTCTGAGGAAATGGCTGGATGCACATGTGTAATCTTCGGATGAGGTGAATCGACGGGCCAGAAGAGATGGATGTTGAATCGAAAAGTATTAGCTATCCAGTATGTAGATGTTTGGTTTGATGAGTCTTGCTATCTCCTTTAGAGCTTCCCAGAGAGATTCATATAAATACCTATGTCGAAGTCAAAGTAGTCTGATGTTGATGGTATATTGGGTTACCCCTAATCTTTACCTAGAACGTCTCGTTAAAACTTGGATGTAGAAATCCGGAAACGTTCACGGGATATTTGACGTAGGTACCTAGGTAATATACTTTTCATCCCTTGGGTGGTCTGTAGAACAAAGAAGAGGAAAGAGATGGATGAAATATAAATGATTTTATATATGTAATCTTATTTCCTACTCCGTTATCTGTCATATCCATCAAAATTAGGATTCACAAGGGTGGAAAATTCGGAGTTTGATTACATCTCATCTGAGAGAGAGAGAGAGAGGAGCGGAGGACAGAGAGGTTCAATATTAATCATTTTCTTAAAAACTTCCACAAGCCAAGAACAAATTTCCCTAAAATAACCTAATCTAATCTTCTTCCTACCTTCACAAGGACGGCGACAACAACACTTTCTTTCCTTCTCCTCTCATCGTCCCATGAAGTTGACATTGCAGCATTCTCTTTTGTGATTGATATGCTACCTAGGTATTTTATTTTTTTCGTAATAACCTTAATCTCGATTCCCCAAAGGACCCTGCTCCCATCCACCTGGTATCTCCACTCATCGCGCCAAGTGTTCACCATAACGGTGAAATACTAAAGGACACAGCGCAACAATTTCAGCATCCTGTGCATCGCGATCAACTGCTATAAAAAAAAAGTCCCGTACGACGTTGGGGCTACAATTATTGCCAAAAGCTGTAACGATTGTAGCAGGTGCCCAAGGGGTCCAGAACATACGACATAATGCATTTGGCATACCCCTCGAGGAAAGCCTCGAACCCTCCAGCATATTTCGCGCCACGATCCTCACGTTTCCCAATGCTACGCAGAAGTAGGGCGAAGACGATAGTTCTAGGCGCCTGTGCCATAGGGGTGGTATTCTTCATACTTTCACGTATACTTGGGGGAGCAAATGGAGTACCATCGGGAACTCCACCAGTTGTAATTGTCACAGTATTGGATACGGTGGGATATAGTAAAGAGTATCAGGACAGCGTAAAGGAGAATCGCATTCAATATGCCAGGAAACATGGTAAGCAAATGCTTTGCGAATGGCTTCAACTTGCTGTTCTGGCTTTCAAGCAAGAATTGAATTGACAATCGTTAGGATATGCAACATTTTTCCCCAGTATTGGAGACTATGATATTCAAGGATCGCCGAATTCATGGTCCAAAGTTCCCGCAGCACGACACGCCTTATCGAAATTTCCACATAGCGAATACATTTGGGTTTTGGAGCAGAATGCTCTCATCATGAACCCTGCGCTGAAGGTCGAAGATCACATTATGGCTCCAAAGCGCTTGGAAAGTTTGATGATCAAGGATCAATCTATTGTGCCTCCGGACAGTGTCATCAAGACATTTCCAAATTTGAAAGGCGAGAACGTTGATTTGGTTCTCACTCAGGATAAAGACGGTCTGTCGCAGGCTAGTTTTATCATCAGAAAGGGGGAATGGAGCAAATTCTTCCTCGACACATGGTTTGACCCTCTGTATCGTTCTTACAACTTTCAGAAAGCAGATCTTCATGCATTGGTAAGTGGGCCCATGTTTTTTTTTGGGCAAGTTCAAATTCTTACAATAATCAGGAACACATCGTACAATGGCATCCAACGATCTTGTCGAAGTTGGCACTCGTGCCACAGAAAATAATGAATGCATACAATTCGGATGAGACGAACGGGTATAAGGATGGAGACTTTGTTGTTCGATTACCTGGTTGCGACCAGTCAGGACGAGACTGTGGAAAAGAAGCCGAAAAATACACAAGGCAATGGCGGACTGTCTTCGCATCACGATGATCCAACCCTTTACTACGATAATCAAATCAAACCCTCATCATCAACATATAAGCATAGTTAGGGCTATAGAAGCCCTTATGATCTACGAATAGCGGGCAAGGCGTTTGCAGGCGTACAACACAAGAGCATGAAGATAAATGTTTGCATAATTGTACAATACCAGCGATGACGTCTGTAGGAATATGGACATCGCTGATGCTGGCAGATATAGTTTTCTTGGGGAAGCAAGACTTTGTCTTCTGTATATTATTTGAAGCATACATACCCCAGCAGTCAATGAACTGCATTTTCAATACTTGCGAAGCTCTTCGATATAGTTTTGTGTTCTATAATTATTTCAATCGATGATGTAGGAGGTCATTAAAGTGTGTTGTTCTCGTCCGCAGCGTTGAATTAGCACCTCCAGTACCTAGTATATCCATGTAGCATTGCCAACATAAACATCTCGTACCTCCAGCTATAACATCAAATGCTCATAACAGAGAAATTTGACAGTTCATGTCCACTTTTTAATGACGATATATCATATATATTAGATATCGTCAAACTCTCTAGAAATAAGTTTACAAGGGCAGACCTTAGATGGAGCATAAAGAAGCAAGCATGTGATGAGTAACATACATCCTCGGCATCTCCATCAATTGAATCAAGGAAAATGAAACCTCCGATGCAGACGACGACTTTTGGCCTTCTGCCTTTTATCTTGCTCTCCCACCCCAACTTTTATTTTCCTTCTCATCACTCACCGACCATCTGTTTCCTAAGATGCCCGGCAGTTCGAGAATGCCCGTGAGCTTGCGCAATAGCTTCACCGTCAAAAAGGGTTCATCAAGTAGTAGCCAATTACTGGCGTTGAACATTGATCTGTGAGTTCTTCTTCTATGCTTCTGGACCCACCGTACATGCGATAAGCTATGCAATGTGCTTGCTTCTTGTGCCTGATGGAATAAACTTTGCTGATAATATTTCTGGTATTGCAGACTTCGAAATATCGTATTCTTTTTGTTCTTACTGAGATGGACGAGGAAGGGTCTTTTGAAATTGAAGGGAAGGGGGCTTTTTGGTAGTTTCGCAGACGCATATATCTCAATTCGCAGAACACTCTATGGATTATTCCTGAGAGCACCCGGTGTACGATCTCAAGTACAAAAACAGGTCTCAGAGGCAATTACGAAATTACAAGGCAAACTGGTACCGACGGGTCCAGGCGTGGTACGATATTTGACGCTGCCGAAGGAAGGATGGTCTGAAGAAACGGTCATGAAAGAGCTGGAGACGTTGGCCAATATGGATCATACCAGATGGGAGGATGGATTTGTCTCGGGTGCTGTGTATCATGGAGGAGACTCGTTGATGAAACTACAGACGGAGGCATTTGGAAAGTTTACAGTCGCGAATCCTATTCACCCGGATGTGTTCCCGGGAGTGAGAAAGATGGAGGCAGAAATCGTGGCAATGGTTTTGTCGATGTTTAATGCTCCTCCAGGAGCTGCTGGAGTTACAACTAGTGGAGGTACAGAGTCTATTTTGATGGCTTGCTTAAGTGCAAGACAGAAGGCTTATGCCGAGAGGGGTGTAAAGGAGCCGGAAATGTTAGTCGATCTATGGATATGCCCTTTACACTTTTATGCTAACCAATATTCAGGATTCTACCAGAAACGGCACACACAGCATTCCGCAAAGCAGGTCAATATTTCGGTATCAAAATTCATCTTGTCGCTTGTCCCGCTCCATCTTATCAAGTCCATCTTCCAAGCGTATCTCGCCTTATTAACAGCAATACTGTTCTTCTCGTCGGATCCGCGCCCAACTTCCCTCATGGACTCATTGACGACATCACTGGTCTCTCCAAGCTCGCCGTCAAACGTAAAATTCCACTTCACGTCGATTGCTGTCTTGGATCATTCCTCGTCCCCTTCCTCGAGAAGGCCGGATTTGAAACAGAACTCTTTGATTTCCGTCTCAAGGGTGTTACTAGTATAAGTTGCGATACGCACAAGTACGGCTTTGCTCCTAAGGGTAACTCGACTGTTCTTTACCGCACCGCAGCCTTGAGAACTTACCAATACTTCATCTCTCCTGACTGGTCAGGTGGTGTGTATGCCTCTCCATCGATTGCCGGATCTCGTCCAGGTGCTCTAATTGCGGGATGTTGGGCTTCACTTATGAGTGTTGGAGAAACTGGCTATATCAATTCTTGTAACGAGATTGTTGGAGCTACCAAAAAGATCATCGATGCCATAAGCGAAAACCCATCTCTTAACGCCGATCTCCACGTACTAGGTAAACCACTTGTTTCTGTTGTAGCTTTCACGTCCAAGACACTCGATATTTATGATATTGCCGATGCTATGTCAGGAAAGGGATGGCATCTCAATTCATTACAGAACCCACCGGCTATACATGTAGCTGTGACCTTACCGATTGTAAAGGTGTGGGAGAAATTGGTCGAAGACTTGATAGCTGTTGTAGAAGGGGAGAAGGAGAAGGAGAGAGTCAGAATTGTGGAAGGTAAAGGAGCAAAAGGAAAGAGCTTGGGAGATTCGGCGGCCCTCTATGGAGTTGCAGGTAGTCTGCCAAATAAGAGCGTGGTGGTCGAATTAGCGAGTGGATTTTTGGATACTTTGTATAAAGCTTAGAAGGTCAGTATGGAATATGATGATTGAGATTGAGGAAGTGGTGCATATCACCATCTAGAAATTTGCAAATATGTGAGCGGGGTCTTTCAACACGCCTTTTTATGGGCTTTTCGAAGTAGCGTTTCTATTTATACCTTAGTTTTACAATCTTATAGTTCATTTTTCCCTACTCTTCAACCACTTCATTTCATGTCGAAGCTCAATTTGGATGTAAAGTTCCTTCAGATAGTATATCGATACCTAAGATGCCGTGAAGATTGATTTAAGCGAGTTGTACAACTCTAATGATAGTCAAGGCTGATTATATGTATGACAATCAATGGAAGTTTAAGAAAGATTTAATTTTATGATCATAGCTTCTTATACCTAGGAAGCTTCGCACTCTACTGATTTATTGATTAACTTGTCCACTCGTAGATTCTTCTTTATTTAGTAACGACTTCACTTCTGGGTGAAGGCCTAGTGTACAACCTTAATTTATTACTTACCAATCGCTAAATCTGAGCCCAATGTGCCTAGTGTCCCAGCGATCGTCACATATTGATATTGATTGTAGTTTCAAGAGCCAGGTTGTCTTACGCTCACTTATAGTAAGCACCAGTACTCTTCATTACAGACAAGCCACTCTCAAATTATTGCCCTTTACATTAAACCTTGCAGAAGCTGAACACCTTGATTTGTGCCACTATATGCATAGATAGACATTTCCGGCAGGTAACAGAAAATTAGCAAGACAAGTGGCGAAGTATTCGCACCCCGCGAGCTGGAAGAATTCTGTAGTGAAAACTGATTATCGTTAACGAACAACCGCTAGATAACTACTTTCTTGAGCACAGCGCGTGAAGACTTGCTGCCGGATAGATCTGTGCTTTTGGCCAGTCTGTAGTCACGATGGCTTCAAATACCCAATACATTCACGACGATGTCCGCGATTATAACGAAGATGTCCGTGATTACTTGCATGAGTATGATCACACAATGTCCTTGGAAGACAGGGCAACTCTTTTCGCCAATAATTTTAAGAATTTCTCAACTCCCTCCAATCCAGGCGATAAGACAAATCCTGATGACGGCGACGACTATGATGATGTGCTTCTCAATGAAAATACTATGTCCGCAGAAGACAAGGACATTATTGTTGAAAAAATGCGTAGGGACTTGCAATGGAAGACGCTTTTATCCAAAGAAGACGGGACCTCCCTCCAAAAGAATTCCGTCCCCAAAATTCATGCAGACTCGCTTTGGAAGACAGCTACGGATTTATTCTATAACGAACTTGGAGCATCTGGGGGAAAAAATGAAGATGGCACGGCGACAATCGAAGAAGCCATAAGTGAACTCAAGATTGCACAAACTAAGCTTTCTAAGGAGTATGGTGATCATGAGCTTTTTCACGGTGTTAAGATTAAGCTTGGTAGTGTCCTGAAGAGATTGGAATTGATTTCGCAAGTTGGCGACGCAGCTACAAAGTTCGCTCCAGAAACTGTATCCCTTGCCTGGGCTGGGTTTCGATTTATCTTCATGGTATGCTTGGTGTACCGTTTTCAAATGTCATTTGATACAATATGAGTTTAATGATTTCTTAGGGATTCGTCGAAGATCAGAAAGCGTGTGAATTCCTTGTGGAAGCAGTAGACAGCATGTCTAATATAATTCTTATATGTCAAATCTATGCACAACGCTATCAGCTAGATGTTCCAAATCCAACATCGACCAGAAATGAAAATGGTCTTAAAAGGGGCATCAAAACTGCAATCATTGAGCTTTATAGGATTGTCCTAACGCTCTCTCATCAAGCGAAGAGTTTTTCCGCCCGTAAAGCAGGCAAGGGAGGTAAAGTACAGCTGCATCAAAAGTATTGGGTATCTGGCTCACTCTTGTCATTTCAGGACGGATCTTCTGGAAGTGGCTTGGTAGCCAAGAAAGCAACTTTACTGACACAATGAAATCAGGACAGAAGAAGCTACTGGAATTGTTGAACTTAGCGAGCATCGCTTTCGAGGAAGCGGCTATTCAGGTGCTTAGAGATCTAGTTATCGGTGATAACGAACATCTGCAGGTTCTCAAGGACATCTCTGACACAATTCAGAGCATAGCTCCGACACTAAACAACATCAATCTTAGGCAAAATCGGCATGATCTTGAAAAGAGGTACAAAGAACAATTAGCATGGCTTAGATCGGGAACAATAGCTGCTGCAGAAACCCACGGTAGACTTCATGAAGTTACTAAAAAGGCAAGCTGCAAAAATGCTTGCAAATGGATTTTCAATGAAACAACTTTCAAAAAATGGTCGCAATGTGAAGGGGAAGACAGACTGTTATGGATGAAAGGCCGAAGTGGGATTGGGAAGAGCTTTCTCGTTTCGACGATAATTGAATACTTGGAAGAACATACTCCAAAAAGCGGGACTCAGCCACTGGTACTTTATTTTTTCTGCAAGACTGGAGACGACACGACACAAAGAGGAAACAAAATCATGTTGCATCTGCTGGCCCAAATCCTAGTTAGGGTGTTTAGCAATTTCAAAGAGGAAAATCCGCATTCTGGCTTAGATGGCAATGGGCTGAGATCTAGTAGCTTTGCGGAGCAAGAATTAATTTCATGCATCAATGTAATCAAGACAGCAAGGCGAAAGATGCTGAGTAGCGCCACCAAAGAAGATTCCTCGCCTGTGGAAATCAATTCCTTGCTTCAACCGATGTTTAAGAGCCTGGTGGCGACTCTTCAAATGAAGTTTGTGGTGGTGCTGGATGCATTGGATGAGTGTCTTGACTACGATAAAGGTCTGCTATCTGCATTGGTAGATCTAGCTCAAAGCTCAACGATGAGAGTTTTCATAGCGAGCCGCCCCATCGATAACATTTCAAAAGCTCTGAGCAATAATGTGTTGTCAATTGATCTCGATCTGAAACATTCCATTGCAGAAAATATCCAAGTGTATGTTAAAGATTTCCTGCGCCGGGAAAATCTTTTTGCTGGTAGCAACAACGACCTGTTGAAAGCGGCTAGAAGAATTACGAAGAAAGCAGATGGTAGCTTCAGATGTAAGTTCAAGCCTCACTGATGGTCAGATCTGACAGTTTGAAGATGCAAACTTGATTCTCGAGGAATTGAAATCGACGCCCAATATCACAAAGCAGCACAAGTTGATAAAATCCGAACTCCCGGACGGCTTAAAGAACTATTACCGACAAGCCTTCAAAGGTCTAGATTCAGAAACTCGTGAAATTCTTTTGATCGCTCTTCGCTGGCTCGTGTGTGCGCAAACTAAAGTTTATATCCATTTAGTTGCAGAGGAGTTCGACCGTAAGTGGGAAGTACACGAAGATAACGATGGGCTAGATGATCTTTCGCTTGGTAGCGATGCGAAAAGTCTTCTATCTGAAAATAGTGACCTTGAGACCACTACGATGCTACAAATTCGAGCAGAAAGCATTCCTGTGTCAAGACTCAAGGCTCCCACAATTGCTGAGCGCCAAGTAATCCAACTTGTAGAGAACGCTGGAAGAAAGTTTCTTCAATTTGGAAGTGCCAACAGCATTGAGCTCGATCATAATTCGGTGCGCGACTATATTCACGAAGACGAAAATGATCGTGATACGACTACTCTCTGTATTAGATGCAGAAAAGAGAAAAACGATATGTTAGTATTTGAAGCTGGAGGTAAATATGGCAAGCTACTCATGATCGAAAAGATAATGAAAACATTAAACTCTGAATTGTTCCAGAGAGAATTTATGTGGGCTATCGGCGTGGAAGATGACACAGGGGGGGCAGGATCTGAGTCTGAATCGAAAGCTCCTGAGACTGACACAGTATTCCGAAAGACGCTGTTAACTTCCAGATCCAGACAAGCATCTAACGCGCAAGACATCGAAGAAGTGGAAGAGCAGTGCATGGAAAATCCGGAAACTAATACAAGAGTAATCATGAATGATTTAGAACACTTCCATTATTACAAAGCCAACCTTATACCGGATGAATTAGAGGAAAGATATGAGCTGGATCATTGGACAGGACATCTTAGAGATGCAGAAGAAGCCTGGCCAGAAAATGAACGGCTCGAGGAGGGAGCTAGATGGACTGAGCTGTATGACGCCGTTGAAAAATTCTTGGACCCCAGTAGTTGGGCATTTAAAAACTGGGTTAAAAGAACCTCTCCTTGGCGCTCAATGGATTCTATCGATCCTTTGCATGTCGCCGCATACTGTGGCTTGGTTGGATTAATCAAGCGACATACTAAAGAGAAGTACTCAGATGCATGGACTGGGAACAATTTGAGCGCGTTACACCTAGCATGCCACGGCGTTGGGCAATTTCGTGGCATAGAGATTCTGCTGCCAGATGAAAAGAATATTAATCGACGGGTTGGAATGTATCAGCAAACCCCGCTTCAGCTCGCTATAAAGTCTAAGGCAAACGTAAAGCTTGTGGCTAAGCTCATAGATGCAGGTGCAAATTATCAGATATCCGACTCTTTTGGGAGGACTTGCCTTCATTTTGCTGCAGAAAGTGGTGATACTGATATCACCAAACTTTTACTGGAGAAGAATGCGGATGTCAATGCGAAGGATAAAGAAGGTGAAACACCTCTACATTGGGCATGCAAGCAACAAAAAACGCCACGGGAGCTGGTTCAACTTTTGTTGGACTATGAATCGAATGTAAATGCAGAGGACAATGATCGTCAAACACCAATATACGAAGCCTGTCTTTCAGGAAATGTTATGGTCTCAAGAATACTGCTTCAGAATTCTGCAAATGCTAATTGCATCGATAAGTTTGGGAATACTGTTCTTTACGCAGCCTTAGGGTGGTGTCAGACGGCCGAAAAAAGTAACGTGAACCTCGCTGAACTTCTTGTTCGTTATGGCGCCGACTTTTCAATCAAGGATAACAGGCTACACGATCCAGTCGCACGAGCTGTCGCTCTAAACGATTTAAGAATTCTTGATTTTCTATTAAAGTATTGGAAGGAAAAAGATCCAGAAGGATGCTTTCTCTTGAATCGCGATTTCGATAGTATGACACCACTTCATCGTGCTGCTGCACAAGGTCGAGATGAAGTTGTCAAAATGTTATTGGAGGCTGGGAATAGGAAAATCTTGACACTTTGCAGACTACCCGGTATTTATGATTCCACAGCTCTTCACCTTGCCGTGAAAAATGGACATAAAGAAATTGTTAAAATCTTGTTTGATGCTAGTGATGCTTCAATTTCTCTTGAGATTGACAAATGTGGAGCTACGCCGATGCATTGGGCTGCCAGCAGAGGAAACGTAGAAATTGTTAGGATCCTTCTTGATAAAGGTGATATTTCAGCACTCTACATACACGACAAAGCTGGTGCCACGCCCTTGCACTGCGCTGTCACTATGGGCCATGTTGAGACTCTCCGAGTCCTTCTGGATGATAGTGATTCTTCAGCCATCGACGAGGTCGACCATGAGGGTGCTACACCTTTACATATCGCAGCGCGTGGAGGGAATACAGATGCAGCGAACCTGTTGTGCAGCCGAGGAGCAGACCCTACTTTGGAGGATGAGCATCATAGAACGCCTTTAGAATGGATGTTCATAGTATGGAAAGGTATTCACCCAGACGATATCACTCGCAGAGATAATATTGAGAGTACAATAAAGCTTCTCGTGTCAAAAGTTCTCACTTCAGCACCTCCTGCAATTGATTTGAAGAAACATAAGCTAGATCTCGTTCACTTTGCGATAGAGAAAGGCAACGTCAATATTTGCTATGCCATTCACAAAGATCTAGTGAACGAAAAAGATTCTCATGGCTGGACCTCGGTATTACTCGCAGCCCAGCTTCAACGACAAGAAATAGTTGATTTTTTATCACAGTATGATACGCAAAACATACTCGGAACACTCAGTCAGAGAACAGACTCGCAATCATTTGGTCATCCTCCGACCAAGTGGAGCTTAACTTGCAAAACTTCGAGGATTACGATTAGTGAAGATGGTCTAGAAGCATCTCTGGAGAGCAGTAAGTTAAATGCAATCATGAATTGAACTCTTTGCCTAATTGTATAATTTAGGTGATGATTTAGGTTTCCACGGTCCTGTACGAGCGAACCATCCAATCCCAGCTGGCAGAGAAAAGTACTATTTTGAAGTTACTGTGCTTGAGATCTTCGGGGAGAATCAGTACGTCTTGATGGGCCTGTAGACTAACAGTTTTTACTCACACCAAGACAGGAGTTTTAGACTTGGGGTTGCCCCTAGGAGGACCCATTGGTTTGATGAGGCTTCGGCCTGGGACTATGAAGTGACATCGCCCTTGTACGCTTTAGATACTGCGTTATCTGATGAGATACAGCAATATAAAACTGGGGATGTAATAGGATGTGGCATTGACTTTAGGGAAGAGAAGATCTTCTACACCAAGAACGGAGAGCTGCTAAGTAAGTATATTTTTATTTCATCCTTATCTCGATGCCATGCTAACGATTTATTACTCTAGCAAGCAAAACCAAATCCATACAGGTTGCTAGACGCTTATTTCCATGCATTCAAATGGGGGGTAAAAAAATAAATACACGCGTCAACTTCGAACAGGAGTTATTCGAGTATCAAAAATGGCCGTTTAATTTCCCGAAAGACAATAGCGAGAGCGAAGGGGAGGATTCGATATCTGGACGTCTAACTAAAGATAGCTTAGAAGCGCAAACAGTGACCAGACTTCTGGTCGAGAAGAATGTTATTGAGGTACAAGCTGATCATAAGAAAGAGGGGCAGATATTGGATAAAATCCAACAATCGGACAGACAGGACAAGATTCCTATTGAGCTTCAGGCAGCAGATAGGCAGGAACAAGTACTCATTGAGCCAGCACCCATTCATCAAGAGGATTGCGATGCCATTGGTAAGTTACAACTTAATCACCAAGGGACTCAGAAAGAGATAAAAACCGGCATAGGCGGGATCAATCCCGCTGTAGACACCGTCGAAATTTTTGAATCACTGGCAACACTTCAGGCCCCCCAGAAGCGGAAGAAGTTTTCTCGTGTGCTTCGAAAGTTGGGATTTTGTTCTTAATTCTAATATTGCTCGGAAAGTACGTGTAGGATACTGTGCTAGTACTCTAGTACCGATTGCACTTTCTTATGTAGCTTCACTATGATGATTCTACTACCCAACCATATATACACTTCTTGGCTTCTGATACGTTGTGAGCTTCATGTAGTAATATGCCACTTCGGGCAACTTGCTTACTATGGTGTTATTTGTAGAACACTCCTTTATAAAAAGTATCCATGGATGACTATAATAATCAAAGAAAGCTAAATTCTAGCATGAAGTGAATTAGAGCAGCAAAAATAGCTTGTAACTTGATTGCACAATGTTCTTTTATTATCCCTTGTACTAAATGAACCTTCTTGTTTAGCTCCGCGATCCACTTCATCCACTTCCTTTGTTTCCACTCCACATCTTTTCTTCATATTATTCTTTAACCACTCCTCTAGCATCTGCAACGGGCTTGTGGTTTAGTGGTATAATGTTCCCTTAGCATGGGAGAGGTCCGGCGTTCGATTCGCCGCTAGTCCATACAATTTCAAAGATCGTTCAATTTGAGATTACTTTTTGATGTATTTTTGAAGGGGGAGATTTGAAGCTTTTGATAATTTTTTTTTCGTTAGGGGTCAAAAATTTTCGCGAGGCGTGGAGGTTTTTCCGTTCCGGTGCACGCGCGTTGACATTTTTACTGGCCACAGGAGAAAAAAAAGGGCCAAAATTGATGACCCCAATGAATTCTATAATAAATCAATCATTTATAAATTTATGAGAGTTGATGGCACTAAACATACCTACCCTTGGAGGACCTTCAGTTGTGATACTATTTAAATTTTAATTGTTTAACTTGAAATAGAACCCTTGGATTGTCGAAGTGTAGGTATCGCCAATGGTCAATTCCCACTGTTTTGAACATTGAACTCCCAGGTTGCCCCACCAGTCGGTGCATGGATTGACGGGACACATCTCACTGTTCAAGTTTCTTAACAAATTTATTCTTCAATTGTTTGAAATCAAATTTGATTGTGTTAATTTCTAATAAACAATTGTGATATATCAGAAGATATCCATCCGTAAGTCAATTTCTTGTAGTGTCCCATCAGTCCGTACACCCACCGGTGCTCTGAGTAACATGATACTATGCAGGAACCTTGGTATTGTTATATCGAGCTTTATTTATTCCATTCGATTTGGTACCTCCCGCAAGTTCTTTAGGTGAGATAGATGCGGGGTATAGTCACGGTTGATTTTCGTTCCTTCCGAATCTGAACCCTCATTTGATAAGTTTAATGACACCACTTTTCACTTGAACCATGGAGCGTTTTCATCTGCACTGCAGTATTTCAAGATCAGGTTGCATGTATAATCATCAATATCGTGAAGGAAGGTGAACTCGGGTCGAGTGTCTGCTGGTTGATAAGCATCGATCAATCAGTATTTGTCAAATGCAGCTGAACGTCGTGCGAATGAGGGGCTCGATATTTGATCCTATCACATTCCCTCAACGGTTCGACTTCTTTTCGTTTACATTGGTCTTGTGTTCTGTACCTGGTGGTGGAAACTTTGTTAATTGTAAGCTGTTGTGTTTGTTCATTGGTAGTTGCTATCTCTCTGCTATGCTGAGACGGAGCAAGTCCGAGGGAATTCTTCACCAGAAATTGATCAGAATTTAAACAAAAGAGTGAGCTTTGAGTATCTGCTCGTATCTTCTCACGATGCTCCAGACAAAAGAAGACACCCACAACGGGTGACGCAAGCTTGATGAAAAGTTTCTGGCGTTTTGATACTGAGTGGTAACGAATCGCGATTCTCATCTACATATGTTTCTTCCAAAAATATAATACTACTAGACTCTGGAGCCTGGAGCCTGCAGGCCGACACAATCTACCGCCCCTTCTCTCACTTGAAAGCATCTATGCAAGAGATTAAAGAGAGGCGAGCCCAGTGGACCCTGCGTGTATTCCATGGTAGTGCCCTTTAGAGTAAACGAGTTCCATCTTCGCCAGTTCTCGCAGCTGTTCACGCATGATTTTTCCGCTCTGTACATTATCAGTTTTGGTCGAACCTAGAGAGACAGCTGGTGCAATATTACCAAATTCCGCGGGATACTTGGAATGAACGAGATGCCTCCAGAAAGATACTTATATGGGGCAATCTTATCGGCCATGAATTGATTAACTTCAGTAGCGGAAAGTGCCGATTCAGGGGCGGTTACAATATATGCACGTGGTCCTTCATCTTGGTACCTGTGTTCAATCGTTAATAGCCTCCAGAGGGTAAGATGTGATCGGCTCACACAGCTACGCCGATGATTCCAGCATCCACGATTTTTGGATGACGAAGTAACACGGCTTCCAGTTCAGTTGGTGCTACATGGTTTCCATTCACTTTGATCAAATCCTATCTTTCATATCAGTTCTCGCTGCAATTCTGCTTTGGTTGTGATTATGTTACTTTTTTACGATCCACAATATACCACATTCCATGTTCATCAACATATCCGACGTCTCCGGTAGAGAACCACCCATCGGCTCCATAAGCTTCACTGGTAGCCTCTGGATTATGATAGTATCCTGTGCTAAGGCTAGGCGCACGGATCCAAATATCACCAATGGTGTTACGGTTCACGATCTGGCTACGCTCACTGGTATCCGTTACCTTACCCTCAAAGTTGGCGTGGAGTTCCCCAACGGATTCAGACGGCGAGCAAGCCATCATATCATGACCGGTGATCAATCCAAGTCTGAAAAGGAAAACTCATCGATTAGCATCTGTACTGTCAGTTTATTTTGGAAGGACTTTCATACTCGGTAAATCCCCAGACTCGGGTAACTCTCCCGACGCCTATTTGCTCCAGTATTGTTTTGGTTAACTGTCCCATTGGAGCTGCAGATGCCTCTACTCTCTTCAGAGAACGTAACTTTTCTTCAAGATTACAAGCAGGTGCTTTCGCAATTTCAGTAAGCATGGAACTCCTAATGATTGCGTCAGAAATCTTAAAAGTTTCCACGGCGTTCAAGATATTCTGCACACTTGGCTGGCACAGGAGATATAGCGGAACTCCAAGCTTTGGGAAGATAACACTATAGGATCTTTGACCAAGAATATGGTGCATTCCGAGCGCTCCTAAAACACGAATCTTATTGATACCCGTGCCTATATTTTTCATCGACTGCTGCCAGTCAGGGTGGAGAGATACTCGCTGCATATAGCTTTCGGCAGCTGAGATATAGTTGCGATGAGAAATCTCAACACCTTTTGGATGTCCGGTTGTACCTGATGTGAACATTATGACAATGGTACTGTTGTAATCAAGCGAGGATTTAACATTGGGATACTCCCAGTCCCTCTCGTCTACAGAGCCCACCATATCCTGCCAGTGAGGTACATTGAGGAATGATCTACCCGTGCTATCAAGAATATCATCATCAAAAATGAAAATCGATTTCCTCTCTAAGGCTGGGCAAGAAACTTTACCTTCAGTCTCCGACAGGATATCTAGATGCGCTTGTTGAGTCAAGATTACCGAGGGCTTCGCAACTGTGAGCAGTCTTTCCAATTCTGAATGATCGTAACTAGGCTGTCCAGGTACAAAAATACAGCTCGCCATAATGGTGCCCATCAAAAGGGCTGGGTATGCTATTGCATTACCTGAAAGACATAAAATTCGATCCTTGGGTTGGACCCCTAGTCGTCTTAGACCCACCGCAATGCGAACAGAGAGATCGCGGTATTCTGCTAAGGACAAAGATCGGTCATCTGGGCGGAGCGTATCGATAATCAACTTCTTTGAGCCGAGATTTTCATGCGGAGCACCAAACACAAAATATGGCAGGGAGCTAAAAGGAATGGGGGCAGTCCATCTGGAAGTGACAAGTGATGATTGATTCAAACATTGCATTTTGATGAACGAATGAATCTGGAAAGACAGACTTTAGCAGATTGAGATAAAAGAGATGTTCAGCTCCTTATGGTCTCTTGCGTTCTGAGTTGCATTTTAGATCCTCTCGAAAGCTGAAAGCTGAAATGACGAGTCATGCGAATATTTCTGTCAAAAGCAATAGCAGGTAGTAACCTGACGAATATTTCCATCGTATTTTCATCCGGTAGGTATTCAAACTATATGATTTCAATCAATAACTTCTGAGTTCGAATTACTGTAGATGCAGATATCGTTTTGAACAAAAATCCCGCATGACACGTCATTCATGGCTTGTAAAGCAATTTTCAATGTTCCGACTCGGATCTGACAAACGAATCAGCTACTCGTAATATTTACTGGCTGATATTTTGACGAGTTCCTCATCAAAATGAAACTAAACCCATCTATCTTGAGTTTCAATATCAAATCAATTTTATGTAGGTATCTTATTGAAAGTTTCAATACTGGTAAAGTATTAGATCAGATTTGATAGTCCTTTTCATAGTTTTTCCCCGCAATAGGTTCAAAAGTTGTATAATTAATTTAATATCTCAAAGAAATTTTGATCATGTTATTTATATTACCATGCCTTCGTCAGAATTATCACCGAGTACTTAGATCATTGAGGTCTCATGAGTCATGTCGCTTTGCAACATCATTGGCAGCTGAAGATCAAGTCTTTCATAGTGAGATGTCGTGCTACAGTTACAGGCGGACGATATTAGTCATTGCATTACTGAATTGTGGCTAACTGAATTTGAGTTAGGTCTCGAATTCGATTAGACGCAACATTTATTAATATCAAGATTTCGGCTGATTTGATACGATGTTGCTCAAAAATTTGTAAGGTGGGGGAAGGAGGTGGAAGGAAGGAAGTTGGAAGGAAGGAAGTTGGGAGGAAGGAAGGTGGGAGGAAGGAAGGTGGGAGGAAGGAAAAGAAAAAAGAAACAACATATAGTTATAGTAATAAGTATATAACAAATTTAATATCTAGTATAATATTGGAATAGTTACATTGTAAAATTTATTATAATATTTCGTGCTATGTTGTACAAAAGCAAACACACCATAAGATAAAAACCGCGGATCCGGTCAAACAAGA